AAATGCGCAAAACGAAGCCTTTAAGTCCCCAAACGAAACGGGTTTGGTTGCCACAGATACTCCGCATGCAAATAATACACACTCGAGTCGTATATATGTACTTATGTTTTTCAGATAGTGTGCGGGTTTGGCTGAATAAGGCGTATGGATTCCGAAGTAGATGGATAGATTGGCGCACGTACGGCGGATTCCATTTGTCACTGGCCTAAGACCGAACTAAGCTGAGATGACGGTTTTATTTATTCGATTTTCATTCATATATTTAGCTATTTATGTATGCAGCCCGAGCCCGAATCGGAAGCCCCGTGCATTTGCACCGACAAAAAGCCTTCGACAAAGGTAAACAAATACAGGTGGTTCTGAGAGCTCAGGTGGCAGTTTCTTGTTCTCTTTTTCTTCGATCGCTGCCAACACAAGAAAAAGCGCAATTATTGAGATTTCACCTAAAAGAAGGCGTTCGAATACCCTTTCTAAAAATATAATCGTCAGAAAAGAAGGAAATGCTGAATCAGCCTTGCTATGACTAAGTGTAATCTTATCAAATCACACTCAAAATAAGTGCAAAATACTCAAAAAAGGTACTCGAAATCTTAAAACCAGGACAAAAATTCTAAAAATAAATTAGATATAGCTAAGGCAACTATGCGCATGATAAAGAAATAAACAAATCGAAGTGAAAAAACGTGACATTGCTTAAATACCCTTTCTATATATTCGTTGTTCGTGAGAAAGCAAGAAAACATTTAAATTTTATCGATATTAGTGAATGCAATCTTATCAAATCTGAAATTAGCACTTAAACTACGAGTATGAGTGTGTGAACACTTTAGTCTAGCACACAAAAATTCCCACTATATGATACGAAATTTAAGAGTTTAAAATGTATTTACAAAATAACAGAAAGTATCAAAATGTAATATAAATATATCTTAAAAAATAATTCATTTTAAAATCAAGTAATATAACCAATCTCCTGTGAATCAAATCTTTTTACAATAAACTATCTTCTCAGATTGACTGAGATTGTTTCTTGTCAGAACGGTATCTTCTCCTTTGAGGCACTGACCTACACACACACACACGCTCAAAACGGGCAGCGCTTTCAATTTGATTGCGCAATTTGCAGCAAGAACGACAAAAACAAAAACAACAACAGCAGTAGAACAAGACAGCAAGGTACATAAATACATACATACATATGTATGTGTGTGTTAGCAAACTGCAGAGCAATTAGAGAAACTGCAGGTGGCTGGTGAGGGGGATCGGTACAGCAGCGGTCAAGATAGTAGTATTAAATAAGTAGTTCAGTTTAAAATCTCTTTATTGTTTTGAATAAAAGATTTTGTAAGCCACTTTTATTATTATTATTTATATTTCATATTTTGAATGATTTCTTATGTTGTCAAATGTTTTGAAGTTTAAGTTTAATTGGCCAAACTGCAGCATAAAATATGGGGTCTATTTAGAGGCACCCTTTCTAAACCCCAAACACCTAAATATTTTTCATGTTTTTCCCCACTACGAAGAATTATTTAAGTGCGCCTAAGTGCTGAAATATGAATTTTTGATTTGTGCCACATTTAATGTTGTCGTTTTTCGACAACAACTATAACAACATTTTATTGGACCGGCTTCGCTAATTAGGCACTTGGAATAGGCAACAACAATGCTACTACCCTTCCCCCTTCCCCCTTCCACCTGGCATCCACCCTTCTAGTCTCCACTCGCCTATTCTCCACGACGTTTTCCGCCGGCAGCCAAGGTTAAAGCTATAAATAGATATGGAGAAAAATCAACAACAACAAACGGCAAACAGCCAACAACAAAAACAGCGAGTTGCAAATGCTATTTTTAGATGACAGCAGCGAGACGACGACTGTAAAAAGAGTAGATGAAAAACTTGAAACGAAAACAAGACACGAAAAATAAAACTAATAATAAAAGACGAACTTAGAATGCCCTTAAAAATGATGTTGCTTACTAGTTGTACTAATAGTAAACTTAAGCCAAGAAATAAAAACACTTGTACTTGTTGTACAATTGTTGTTGAATAATAAGAGGTGTCTTAAAGGGTAACTTTATAATTCAGTAAATATCTCAAAAGTAAAGTATTCAAACTTCTTTCTAATTGATGACCAAGATTATTAACTAGTGATAAGTTCTTTGGTAAACAATTTAAAGATAGCTGTGCTAAACATAGAGCAGATAGCAGATTTCATTCATATTTTTAGGGGGTCTAAAATTACCCACCTATTATCACAAAATCTTTGAAAGTTGTTTGTTTGGTAGGAATAATAAGGCTGATTGCATTTAACATCTTGATATCCCTTGTTTAAAATAGCTTTCCTCTTGAAAAAGCTGTGTAAATGGGACAAGTTTGCCAAGTCAAATAGCTCGTCTTACTTTGTAAATTGTTCTCTGTATGTAAGTCTGAACAACTTTTATAGAATTACCATGTACTTGCGATATTTACCATGCATCTTGCAAATAATAAGGTATAATAAATTCTTGAGTCAGTAGATAAATTCTTGAGTCCGTACCACAGAAACTATTAAAAAGTGCTGACCCGAAACATTTTCCGATTCTGTTGCCTCAGCTGGTGGCTCTGGTGCTTCTTGGCCCAGTTTAAAGCTTTGGCACCGGCAATGGGTCAACTTAGTTTCGGCTGTCGAGTGCTCCCTCTCTTTCTCTCCCCTTGGAACCCAAAAGCCCAAGCCAAACGGAACCGATTCTCCGATGTTTGTACGTGACAACGCACACACACGCACCTTAAATAAAGAGAGGAGCACCGAAATACCTAAAAGAAAAAAAAATAGATACGCACGCTCAAGAAACGAAACTTGATGACTACGTCACTATGAAAAGTTTCGAACTTTTCGTTTTTGGCCACGAGTTTCCCCCGTCACGATATCGATCCACGGGATGCAGCGATTGTGGCAGTAGTACACAGAGCAAAACATAAACATACTTTTTATTGTTATTGCTGTCATTCATGTACGATTTAAGACTTTGTATTCAAATCTTAAAATTTGTGATAGACGAACGTTTTCGTATTGCACATGAATGTCTATCTCGGAAATCCAGTTTCTGAAATGGAAGTCGTCGACGGCAATTTAATACAACCTGCTCAGCTGGTCAGCATTAAAAATTTGCAACAGCAAAATATTCTAGCGTTGCTATAAATAAAATTATCATCCGTGCTCCCATTTTCGAAGCGTTCGGCTTTATTTTTAGCTGCTCCGAAATTCGCAATGATTGTATCAATCATCCCTTGATTTTGTACGGCAACCTAAGAAATTTTTCAAAATCGATAAAAAATTAAATTAATAATAAGTATATGTTAACATTGGTTGGAAACGAATAAAAAATAAAATATGATTAATACATTTCATATTTCTAGCGGTGTAGAATATTTTTTATATTCACTGTTAAAAATACAGAAGTTCAAACCCTGAAATAACTGTTAGTTTCTTGTTGACAAGCTTCACCTGTAAACGATCACATGTTCAAACTGAAGTCCCGCGACCTGGAATCTGCAAGAAAGCCGTCGAAGCGAATCGAAAACAAACCATTAACCAATAGGCAATAAATCCCCTCCCACATCAATCAATCCACCTGGCTTGTGACGTATCTGCGAATCGGTATTGTATCTGGGTTCGTGACAAATACATAATAACTGCGACGTTAACGAAAGCCCCTGTAATGATTCCAATCGGAGGGCCATAAATCGTTCGTACAAGTTTAGTTGCAAGGGATAGGTTCCACGATCCCGAAAAGGATCGAAATTGGAGCTTAATCGCCGTGGAATAGATAATTATTAAGATAATAGGCGAAGTACATGGCAAATAAATGAGAAGACAGCATAGCGGAATGCCAAACTCACCACAGATTCAAAGAGCGAGAGCAGACAGAGAGTCTCCAATTGAGAATTCTCTCCGAAACCGGCTTTGGTTATAAATAATATAGCTCTTCGTTTATTTATCTTTAGATAGTCTCTCAAATGCCCGAAATTTGCAATTTTTTATGTTGTTTATTATTATTGAAACAAAAACTCGAAATGCAGTTAACATTAACATAACAGCACTGCAATCTTAACGCTGGAATAAACAAAAAGGATGCAACTGGCTGAAATCTTTCATTTATTCATGTTAAAAGCATTTTGCCAATCTGAAACTAGTCGAAAATTCTAGATTTTGAAGTGGACATGATTTGGAGAGTTGTTTTTTGTTGCAGATTGCAAATTTTGATAATAATATTGTTAGGCGAATCCATTTGGAAACAGAAACTAAAAACACGAATTTCATATTTTTATTAGCCGTCGTCAATGAACTGTAATCTGAAAAGGCCACAATAATGAACAGTGGTTTATCGTTGGTAAAAAGAAAACAAAAAAAAAAGATTAACATTAGGCATGTTTTCTAAGTCTCGAATTTATAACAAAAGAAACACTAGAAATTCTCAAATATATTCACAAAATATTATGAAGATTGCTAATATAAGTACATATTTAGCCAAGCTTTATAGTACAACCATTACATTTATTTCTACCTGTGTATAGAAAACAAAGTACATGTTCAGTTTCGTTTATCTTTTAGGCAATTTTGAAAGGTATTTCCATTTTTACCATTGGAACTTTAATTTTCGACGATGTTCAACAATTCATTCCAAGAGAGGGAGATCTTGTGCACTGTGCTGTCAAAATGTCAACATTGGAGAGCGAGGGAGCTACCGCTGTTAACGCTCGGGTTAACATCGAAGAGCGAGAGAGCGACCGCTGTTAACGCTTGGGTTAACATTGCGTGAGCGTAGCTCAGAGCGCCGACAGAGATATGAACGCTTCGTGACTGCAGCAGAGAGCGCACCGAGCAAACGAAACAGATCGTTCGCGTTCAGGTCTTGGGCTTTTTAACGGACTGAGGGAGTCGACAAGACCACCTTAAACTTATTCCACCATGAGCAGAGGCATATAAAGCGTCGTACCCCAAAACATTTGTAAAAAAGCAAACCAACGACGAGCGGATAAGGCAAAATACCTCAGCAGCGAAAAAAACACGAAAAGCCAGAAACTGAAACTGAAACACAGCAAAACAACTCGAACTTCGTGCAGTGGCAGTGGCAAACCAAACAGAAAAGAAACATAAACCAGAAAAGAAGCGAATCGAGGCGTAAATAAACAGAGCGAATTGGAGCGAGCGTCAAAGCCGAAAATCGAAAAAAAGAAACACACCAAACTCTTGCAAACAAAGACGTTTTTCCGGAAAACGCGCGGAAAAGTGAATTTCAATTTTTTTCGAGTGAAAGTTGGGCGCCCAGGCCCACGCCCACCCAACGCAACCACGCCCACAATGAACCGTTCGAACAGTTTTGTTAGCTCGCTGAAGTGGTGGCCACTGCAGGGTCACAACAACCAACCGGTGGCCGTGGCGCCACCTACCGGCGGTGGCGGCTACTCCCAATCGGCACCGAGCTCACCAACTTCAAATTGGCCACCGCCATTGCAACAGCACCAGAATCCCCACCACGGCGGCACACCCACCGCCCACCGGCTGATGCCGCCCACCGCCCACAAGGCCGGCGGAATCGTGGGCGCCACCTTCGGCAGCAGCGTCGCCGTTCAGAAGCTGCGCGAATCCAAGTGGTTCAAGCCCGAGGAGCAGCGCATCTTTTGCGCCGTCGTCGAGTGCGGATTTATTGTCGAGATCCGCAGCAGCGCTGCTGCCGAAGCGGCGGCGGCCAACGCAGCAGCTGCGGCCGCTGCCGCCGCCTCCGGTGACGGCGACGTCGACGTCGACGTCCTGGAGGAGCTCGACTGTCCGCTGACCATCCAGCCGCCCACTCCACCGCCCACCCAAGCCAAAAACCTATCCCACCCACCGCGGCTGGTTATTCCGCGCAACGGAAGCAGTTTCCTGGAGACGCAGGACGAGAACGAGACGCCAGTGGCGTCCTGGTACGGCATCGTCCTCTGCAAGGTGGCCAAAGGTGAGCTTAACGGTAAATGGTGTATCACAGTAGTAGCAGTGAAGATTTTTCCAAACGTGTAAAGGTTTCTTCTCAATTTTTAAATGAATGGATTTAAGCACAAAAGGTGCTATAAATTTAAATACTAATAATTTAGAAGTCTTTGCTATCTTAAAAAACTTTCCGAAAAATGATTTAGATTTATTAATGATACAGAGATAAAGAATTTCGTTGAGGTAAGGCAAAGGTACAACGATTTAGTATTAGAGATTAGATAAAGTATAGAAAAATGTTTTTAAGCAAACACCGCTAAACACACACCTTCAACGAGATTTGCATTGGCTAAAGCTATTACATTAGTTGATGAAATATCACGCCCCTGCAAACCACTTAATATTTTATCAGTTTGAGCAAATCTTAAAAAGCCAAGCAAACATGCAGATACAGTTCAGACTTCTTGATCACATGCACTTTTGCATGCAGCAAGTGCTAATGGGATTTCATTTCTCTTTGTGGTTTGGCGTCGCTCCTTATCTTTTATTATGGTTGACTAATGCGCTTTGGGCAATTGTGTGATTTTGTAGAAACAATGTTTATTCCCCAAAAGCCCCACTAGATTTTGTGTTAATTCCCCTAAAATACTTTCCTTTGTTTGACTAGATCAAAATTTTATTATGCAAATTTCAGCAAATTTAGCTCCTAATTCCCAATCATGTGTTGTTGTTTGCTTGTCCTAGTTTATATTAAGGTACTATGTTTATTTATGTTTTGCATTGTTTGCCCAGTTTGTTGAACTTCGTCTATGTTGTTTGTTCGAGGTTCTCCTGTAGTTTTACCTCGAAGAGGCTGAAACCTAACTGCAGAATACCTGAACGAATTTCTCTCTCGATGATTAATCACAAAACTTCAGACGTCAGAGGCCCATTAAGCTAATCTATGGGTTTTTGGGCAAATTGTAGAATGTCATTCAATAAACAAACGCCACACACATGCGCACTGGCTACGAAATACACTCACACACACATGCATGCAGACAAGGGCCGTGCTTTTATCTAATCGCAAGGAGATTCCAATACGAACAGCAACAACTAAAACGGAGGAGCTTATCAAATGCGCCCACCGGCAGCGCAGTCGACGTCGGCGTCGGCAGAGGGCATTCACAATGCTGCGCCGACAGCTGCTAGAATATTCCAAACTTTTGGACAGAAAAAAAAACCCAAAAACCAAAGGTTTAAACATAAACGAAAAAGAGAGACGGAAAAAAATAAATAAACGGAATAATAAAAAAGCCGAATAACCGAAAGCAAAGTAAACATAAGGCTGACTTGTGCATCATGTGCCGCGAGTCACGCACATTTCCCTATCTTTTGAATAATAGCAACCACTGTGTGGTTACAGTACAAGCGCGCTAAGGTTGATAAGTAATTAAATCAGGGACAGGGAAACTTGTTAGGAGAAAACTTAACATTAAATCAGATTATGGTTGCGCAGCCGGTCTCCACTGTGCGCGTGTGTGTGTGAGTGTTGGGTGGCAGAAGTGGTGAGCTTCACTGCACTGCAAACAAACTCACCACGCCCACACGACTGTTGCATCTCGTGTGCCGGGCAATAACCCACCACACGTGCCGCAGCCGACCATGCAAGCGTGTGTGTGTGTGGCTGAGTGTGGGTTTATCGGTATATGCAACAGCAAGCGCCAAAAAAGTAGCACTGTTAGTAAAAATTAATTAGCAATTATTTTTTTTTTTATTTCTACTATTTATAGTTCAACAAAGCAAAACGTTTTATCTACAACAATGGCAATTTTCCGCTTAAAGAATTAATTCTTTGGTAAAAAAAAGACACTGACATATGGGTATATTTGATTGATTTTGCCATAATAGGTCTGAGAATCTAGAATTCAAAATGAGTTGCCAGGGGAGCCACACTTTTGATTTACCTTGAAGATAAAGATTCAAAGCCATTATTTTACCCCAACTTGTATGGGAAAATGTGCAAGTACAAATTGTACACATATTTTCATGATAATGAGAGCTTTTCTGGGTTGCAAAAGGGCTTCCAATCAATAAAACTTTGCATTCTAGCGCTAATCGTTTTACAAGGCACTCGGACAGCCACTGATTATTGTCCAAAGCAAATTACTCTGGCTTTTACGATGATATATGTACATATGTATACCAAATACATATAGATATACATATACATATGTACGAATGTGTTTCCAAAGAGTCGAAGAAATGGCAGTGGAATTTGCTGTGCATTGCGCATGCGTGCTTATCAACGATATTTACAATGGTCCCATGTCACGTACAAAAAAAAAAAAGAAAAGAAAAACTCGCATAGAAATCGGAGGGGTGGTATCAAATTTGATTGATTGTCTTTCATTAGAAAGCGTTACAGAAAAGCAAATATGCATTAAATCCATAAATATATTGGGGCAAAACACAGGTGTCATAGCATTTAACGATTAATGGTCCAATGGGCAAAAACCGTAGGTTGATATGCAGTAATCACTCAAATTAAAAGCAATTTTTGCCTGCAGTATATTTTAATGTGTACCCTTTGAATGGCTTTAATTTGAATATCATAGAGGTGAGCTCACTGCAAAGTGCATTAGCATTTTTTGCTACTCTAAATCTCACGCCCAAAGTTCAGTAAAAAATAAAAATGAATTTAATGAAATGCCATTAGGGAGATAATGGTGATTCGCTTACAAAATTACTGCCACGAGCCCGAGGTAAAACGATACGGGGGAACAACCAAATAAGCAAACAACCAAACAACCAAACCATTCAGTCAGCCACCCACAAAACGCTCTAAACAATTTTAAATGCCTGCAAATTGGTGGGACATGGCAGCAAATAAACGAATTATATACTTGGCTTGAGAAATACCATTAGAGCAGGAAGAAGCAGAAGCGACTGAGTGTAAAATACTAAGGAGTGCTAATTATTGCACGGCAGTTAATTCACAAATGCTATAACGAATTGTGCAGTCAGCAGTTCGAGTCACTCATGACAACCATGATATTATGTCACTTGAAGAGTTCCTAAACGTAACGAGCATGACAACAAGAAAATACATAACACCCGGAATAATATTTTGTATTAAATAAACTACTAGTACCCATAAACGGCAGAATATTACCCATAGATGCATTTAAATATTTTGAAAGGCATTTGCCAGTTAACCCCGATTTTATTTTCACCTTGTTATGCGCACCCAATTAATATTCTACGCTGGTCTGCGGAGAATCATTCGATCGATGATCGCAAATGGAAATCAATTGTTATTATTATTTACTGAATTGCCTGCATACAAGGCATAAACGAATTGCAATGGGGATCACCTGTTCGGGGGCTTGGGGTTCTGGTAAATTGCCAGGGAAACATTCAGCATGGCCTGAAGTGATGTTAATGGAAGTGCACACACAGTCTAATTATATTTTCCTCTTGATCTTGTCCGATTGCAGACAATAAACCGAAGCCCGAGACCATTGAGATATTTTCTGTGAAAATACGCGAGAATGGCACATATAAGCTAATCAAGATGTCGTTGGCCGATATCTGGAGTCACGGATGGGAGTTGCGCATCAACAACTTTGCCGACAAGGAGAAGGTGCCGCACAACGAAAAGGACATTCGCAATCAGGTGAGAGGATATTGCCAAAAGTCACGTACTCTACTTAAAGTCAGATAGCCAAAGGGCGAACTTATATTTGAAATATTAAGCTAGTATTTAGGAAAGTGAAGATTATTCGTATAAATTTCAGAATATTTCTCTAGGAAATATATTTTACTAAGCGAATTAATAATTGAAAATGCCTTTTTATAGTAAACTAATATTCAGTCAAAATAATACGTAAGTAATAACTCAGTTTCAAGTTAGATTTAAGTAGATATCTATTTTTTTTTAAAGCTTAAATAAGGTAAACTATGAAGTATTCAAATCAAATTATGTAGTTTTACGAAGTGAAGTGAATTAAATATATTACAATCTGTGATATTCCGAAGTGATTAAGAGTGGCTTAAGCTTTTTTCCCTGTTTTGCAACCCAAGAAATTAAATTATTCTTTTCAAAATTTGGTTTCGAATCTTTATTTAGCGTAGCTTCGGGTAAAAAGGACCCTGTCGAAATATCGAACGACGTACAAGTAAAAATGTGTATATGAGCAGCCGCCTTGCCGCTTGTCCCCAACTTGTGGAACGATGTCACTAACCTATTTTGAATTTGTCACAGGTGTCGGTGGCGCGCAAGGCCAAGCAGAGTCTGTGGAACAACAACAAGCACTTCGTCTACTGGTGTCGATATGGGAGTCGTCAGCAGGATCTGCGCAAGCGACAGGTAACCACGAGTGCCAATCACGTGCTGCTGCACCTGATCAATTGATAAGCGAAGTCAGCCGGCAAAAAACAAAAAAAATTCTCAAAAAAAAAAAAACAGAAATGAAGAAAAGAATGAAGGCCAGGAGCAAAAAAAAAAAGCACATGAAGCTCCGACACAGAAACCCAAATTTGCCACACAACCACCTTCTTCTCCCTTTTCCCCCACCTCCCCCCGCCACCCACATGCATTGATTGTTGTAGTTGCAGCAGCAAAAAAAAGAAAGAAAATTCCTTAAAAAAAAGGCTATGTAAAAACCACACACACACACACACACACACTGACCAAAACTCATATACTCAAAAAACTACGCATGCACGAAAAGTGAAAATCGTGGACTAAAAACGTACTGAAGAAACTAGAAAAAGAAACATTATCTTTTCTAACCATCATCATCATTCAGCCACAGATTCATGCTTGCTTTGCTCATGCCACAAAAAAAAATTAAAACAAATAATAGAGATGCTAACCCCGAGGAATTTCCACAAGTAAAACCGTAGAAAAAAATCTAAAATGCATCCACCCAATTTTCCCCACATTTCGTGTGAAAGCGATCGATCATCTTCTACCTGAACTGAAAGCATTACTTTGTATATATTTATTTTGTATTTCTGTGAGACTGCAAAACTGCCCATTTGATGTTGATGTTTGATGTGCAACCACTTTCTGGTTTTCAATTTCCTCAAGATTATTAAGACTTTACGGATTCTGTTTAGCAACCTTAATGTGCGATAAACTTTATTTGGAGAATCTTAAAATATGTGGAGTGAAAAGCTATATTTTTGGTGAAATTGAGAATGAGAAGAGGTGCGCACACATAACTTCTTCTACTTTTTACGGCTATTTACCATAGTTCTTATTCCGGCTAACCGCCTTCATCGCCACATGAGAGACGTACGTATGCCTGTTTGTTCCCCGTGTCTTACAAGTGAATCTATCTTGCAGATGTCGGAGTGCGTGAAATGGGGCAGCGTGGGCATGAATGCGGGCATGCTGCTGGTGCTCAATAATCGCCAGAAATGCTATTCCCACTCAAAGTAACTAGCAAAAGAAAAAAAAAACCCAACCCAAAGCCACCCCCCATATGCCATACTTCATTTCGATTCGAAAGAAAAGAAATACCTTGCCCAAAAAACCAAACCACAGACCACAGACCACAGAGCGATTTTATACAGCAAACACAAGTATTAAAGTAAATTCGGATGATAAGATAATTTATTGGCTAAGAACGCCAAGGGCAGTGGAAAAAAACCAAATGCAAATATACGTATATAAGTGCAAAAAAAAAATAAAAATAAAATAAAAGAGAGCCAAGAAAATATTCAGATCAGGGCGAGGGCTTTTTGGCAGTATTAAAAATTAAGGTAAAAATTTAATAAAAGAAATAAAAAGTGAAGAAAAGATTAAGATAAAGGTAGAGCAAAGCAGAGCAAGAAACATGGCCCACATCATTAAGTCACAACACAACAAGACACAACAACAATTACCACTACTACTACTACTACACTCCCGCCCATGATTGTATAGCTGTTGCAACTCGAGCTGCAATTTATCAAATACTTTTGTATTTACAATTGTGCATATGACACAGAACGAGAGAGAGAGACACACACACACTGTGAAATTCGAAAAGACTTATTAAATATTTGTTTGTTTTTTTTTTTTGCCCTAATTTTTTGTTTTCATGTGATTAAATACGTATACATATTATTATATTTATACATTGTGAAAATGGCAAGCGAATGCAAGTCAACATTTTTTGTTTTCTTTGTTGTTTAAGCGTAGTTAAGAGATCCACCCAAAGGGGCAGGAAAATCAATCGATGAGAACTCTACGTAGCAGGCATAATTTAGCATTGTAAAAAACAATCAAACATTCGAAATGTTTCGTTATGTATTTAGCTCTACATGACCGATCGACCAATGGACCGAGCGACAAGTAACACAATGACTTAGAAACGAAACAAAAATATATAGAAACGCAACATCAAAGCAAAAACTGCATATTTTTGTATATAGGGAACCGGACGATCTACTCGGACTCTCACATAAATAAACTCAAAGAAGACGCAACCCACAAAAACAGAAACAGAAACAGAGAGAAAATTTACAAAATTACAATGGAAAAACGAAAACGAAATCAGAACGCTAGTTCGTAAGCTTAATATACATTATTACTTATTCTGTTTAAGTTTTGTATTTTTTAAGCAATTTATAAAATATTTATAGTAGTCTTATATACATTTCGACAATGTGGAAAAAAATTCAAATATAAAACGTTTGTAAAATGCTTTATATTGATATTATTATTAAATGTTTACCATCGGATACAACAAAATCTACTTTGTGTCTTTGCTTTAAATGGAATTTTCTTTCGAGAGAAGGAATCGAGTAAATCAAGAAAAGGTAAATATAGAACTTAAACTCGGAACTCAGTTACTGTATTAATAGAGTTTTAATAAAACATTAACGAGCTAATTAATTGTTCACTTCATAGTAATTAAATGGCTCTTCGGCACACACCTTGGCATTGTTAACGATAGTATAGCAATAATAATCAAATAGATAAAATTATCACCTTCAATATTAATTGAACTTCGTTTCTTTTTTATCTTGTTTTTTTTTTTTTCTGTCGCATGAAGATAGGCGCATGTCACCTTAAGCCAACATAACAAAGTCAAGAAATGAATGCCAAAAAAGGTAAAATGTTTACATAAAATCTGACTTTTTCATGCGAAATTATAAACTCTTTGTTTTAAAAATGACTTTGGATATTATTTGATAATATTTGCAAACAGAAGACTTTTTTTTTTTGGAAAGTATTCCACATTTAAACAATGTATGCAAGTAACCACCACCTAAAATCATCTTGAAATTCGAGAAATCTTTGAGGAATCAAACCAATAAAGGGGAAGCAAAAATTTCTTGGAGAACCAATAAGTAAGGTAAGGATCAATGTGGTTAGCAACTCACCTCCCGTAGAAGTCCGAAGAGCACGTCCGTGGAGAGGGATCGCTCGTGGGCCTCGTCCATGATGATGGCCGCGTAGCTGTCCAGTTCCGGATCGCGGAGACTCTCGCGCAGCAGGATGCCGTCCGTCATGTACTTGATCACTGTGCGCTCCGAGGTGCAGTCCTCGAATCGAATGGCATAGCCCACGTCCTCGCCTGAAAAAAGAATATAAATTTGATTTTATGTATGCAGTTTTACAAATCATTTGGAAAACAATATGAAATAAACTTAAGGCTACATAAATCATTTTAAAACAGCGTGAATGGAACATAAATGTTATAAAGGGTTTTCATCCCATTGGAGTTACAGCTCAACTATCAAAGAGACTATACTCCTTCTATAAGAACTACTTAAATATATTCTCAACACTTAGTTAGATAGTATGCCTACCCAGTTGAGTGTCCATCTCGTCAGAGACTCGTTTGGCCACCGACATGGCGGCCACTCGACGCGGCTGCGTGCACCCGATCATGCCCCGCTGGCTGTAGCCGTCCTCGTGGAGATACTGGGTGAGCTGCGTGGTCTTGCCGCTGCCCGTCTCGCCCACGATGATGATCACCGAGTTCTCCCGGATGACGTTGAGCAGCTCCTGCCGCGAGGCGAACACGGGCAGGAATCGCCGCTGCTCCGAAATGGTCTTCTTGCGCGAGAAGTCACTCTTGCCGCCCGTTTCCTGGTCCCGCATGTGATCGGCGAACTTCTGGTCCTTGCGATAGTCGGCCGTATCGTTGTCCTTGTCGAAGCGCGCATCCTCGTCGTCCTGCGGCCGCTGCACACCCATGATGTTGCCCAGCTTGGTGCCGCTTAGCTCCCAGTGCTTCTTCTGCGCCTTGCGTCGCTCCTTCTGCTCGCGATAGGTGCGCACCAGGGCGCTGCCCTTGCGCGCCAGCAGCGCCATGTCCGAGGTGGGATCCTTGACGGGCACCACCGGCTCCGGCTGCTTGGTGAACACAATGCGGCCGTCGAGGAACGGCGGTATGATGTGATGGACCAGCAGGTGCACCCGCTCCAGTGCCTCCTCGTCGAAGTCGTCGTTCACACTGATCGAGGTGACCACGCCCGAGGTGAGCATGCGGTTCCGCTCCCACAGCTCATTATCCCGATTGTTCTGCCGCTGCTGGGCGCTAATGCGTTTCGTTCGCTTCTGCTCCAGCTGCTCCTCGCGCTTGCGGAAGTACTCCGAGTTGGCGCCGCCAAACGGATTGTTCTCGTCGTCGTAGCCCTCGTCGATGTTGTACCACTCGCGGTCCAGGCGCCGCTGCTCCTCCTCCCACAGGTCCAGCGACTCGGGATCCTCGCCCCAGGGCGTGGCGCCACTGCGCTTGCGGTCGTGCGCCCATTGATTATAGCGATGCGCCGGCGTCGGACGCGCCGTGTCATCCTGCCGGTGGCGCCGACTGCCGCTGCTGCTACTGCTGCTCCTCGCCGACCATTCGCCAGCGTGACTGCCATGGCGACGGGGCGTGGGCATGTCCCAATCGGACTTGCGCTGACTGCCCTCGCCATCCTCATCGTCCCAGGAGCTGTTGGATACGCCGTGGCTGCCACCTGGTGTTCCCGGCTCCGAGCGCGGCGTGTGCACACTACGCTCGGATAAGGAGCGATCCCGATCTCGATCCCGATCGCGACTTCGATGCCGGTCGCGTTCGCGTTCCCTGCCTCTGTCTCTTTGGCGACGCCTGTCGCGGTCCCGATCGCGCTCTCTGTCCTGCTCCCTGCGATGATCCCGGTCGCGGTGATCCCGGCTCCTCTCCTCGCCCGAAGTGGTTGTGCTGACCTGGCGACCGCGCTCCCTGTCCCGCTGAATGTGCTCCCGCAGGCGTTCGCGCGCCTTCTCCGAAACGCCGCCGGTGTGCGAGGGCGTCTCGTCTTTGTGCTCGCGCAGCTGGCCGCGCAGCTTTTCGAAGCTCTTGGTGTCCGGTTTCTTGAAGGCGAACTCACTGCTGCTGCCGCTCGAGCCGCCGGATGCGTTGGCTTGGGGCGTGGAACTACCGCCGGCGGCGTCGTCGTACTCGCTGTCCTGGAAGGAGATTAGACGCTCCGCTTGCTCCTTCTCGGCCCGTCGCTTGGCCGCCAGTTTGTCCAGACCGAGTAGAGATCCCTGCGGCACTTTGAAGCCACTTTTCGTTTGCGTTGCGTCCTTGGGCTTCCGGATTACCAGGCCGCCGCGCGTCTCCTGGCCCGAGGTGCCCTCCAGCCGGTGGACGCCGGTCTCGTCGTCGGACATCCTGTTCCGGTGCCTTGGCCAAGTGGATTAGTGTCCTGCTTGCTGCTTTTTTCGCAATTCCTCCTCGTTGCCGCAAAAACGATTCATTCGCGTTGGCGTTGCGCCGCACAGCTGACCACTGAGGCTGCCACCTCGTTGAAATTATGTGGGTGGCAGTGCCGCAGCTCTGGCTATATCGTAGCTAAACGATTCGATCATTGGTTTTTATTACAATTTACTTATATATGTTATATTTATTTATAATTTATAATTTTTACCATATAAAACCTTGTTTAAGTCCTACAACTTTTTTTTTTAGAAGTATATAAAGGTGTTGGTATAAATTGATGTCAGTGCAATTATCTATTGCTTTTCTAAGCGTTGCGACTACCAGACTTCTAAAAAGGGAAGGTAAATTAAAACATACTGGCAACACTTGAATTTGGCGCCCTTGTTGAGCTTTAAAACAAAAACAATTCGCTCACGTTCAATAAACCTTTATTGTCATTAAACGCATTACAAATTCGGTATAATCTATGGTTTTTCCGACACCGTCTTCGAGATCCAGTCAAGATACGGCGGATTGCCATTCTGTATGGGCAGTGAAATGACCTCGGCGACGCTGTACGGATGATTTTCGCGGACAAACTTGCTCAGCTCGTCGATGCGACTGGTGCGCGTCTTTATCATCATCAGATATTCGCTGTCCTCGTTGACCTTGCCCTCCCACAGGTAAATGGACTCGATTTTTGGCACAATATTGACGCAGGCGGCCAGTTTACGTTCGATTATGCTGCGTGCTAGCTTCCTTGCCGATTCGCGATCTGGAGTGGTGACGAAGGCCACCGAACTGCTGCCCGGCTGATAGGACTTCCCAGCTGCTGGCGATTCACCCGCTTGGTCGCTCATCCTGGCAACGGTATTGTATGTCAAACTGGAGGAGATGCAGCTGTTTTGATTGGCAGCGTTGCACAAACTGCTCGAGGCAAACGATGGACGGATTGTGACCGCGGTGACGCTTGCAACGATGAACAGGTTGCGCGCAAACACCCAGCGAAAGGGCAAGAACCTTGCACAGATCCGAAATTGCATTAACCTGCACTTTGTACGGCACAAAAAACCCAAGTTCGGTGCGAATTGCAGATAGCAATAACAAAGCAAAGCAAGACCGGCTACGGCGTTGCCAGACTGCTTTTCCAGTTGCTCATGACCTAGCTATTTTTTAGATATTGTTGGTCTACATCCCTGGGTCCCCTTCACATGATCTAAATTTTTAGAGTTGCCACTCCAAGGGAAATATTAAAAAAAGCCGTTTGAAGGCTTCCGTTACATTAAATCGAAACTTCATTAATTCAAATTTTAGGCATTTTCAATTTGTTTTGTTTTATTTGAATACACATATATAAAATATAAATAGATTTCTAATACTCTGGGAAAAGTGGGCCAAATAAAACAAAAGAGTTGCCTTTTAAAATTCTTTTTTTTTTTTTTTTTTTGTTTATTATTTTAATATTTGTGAAAAATTGAAATAAATCAGCTTTATAAATCAACACCAATCACCGAGTAACATTTAAATGCGAAAATAACTACAGAGCTATAATAAATACAATGAAAAGTAACAGAAACCATCTAACACTTAACATCTATAACTAGTCTCCAGTTCTCCAGCTAGGATTTCCCTTTTATTTACGGCACAAGTCGTGCATTCGCATCCATGACTGAGTGACTTCCCCCGAACTGTCCAGCTGGGTGCGCGGCTGAATCGTCGTCAAAATCTGCCACCAGGATGTCCGGCACCTGCCGACTGCCTCCGCCTCCTTGCCGTCCTCCGTCCATCGCGTGTAGGTGGCTGCTTTCCTGCTTGGTACGGAGTTAGGGCAATCAATTGGATCACATATTCTCCCCGCTACTCACTCTGGGGCTCTCGAGAAGCAGTTCTTGAGCCATCGGATCGGTGGACGACTGACGCGATCGGAGTAATCTTTGCAGGGCATTCGGCAGGCGGGAATTCGAGGACGCCATGCTGTTCGTGGTGAAGGTTTCGTTGCTGCCATGACTGGTTCCCGTACCCGATCCCGATTCCTGGCCGGAATCACCACCGGCCTGGGCACGTTCGTGCTCCAAGAAGGCCTTGGTGCCGCCGAGCGTCGCCAACGGATTCTGGAAATGCAGGGTAATGTTGAGATCCGTGTGGCCGCGCTTCCGGTACTGATAGTACAAGTACCCGAGTCCCGCCACCAAACATCCGCTAATCAGTACAACCAGCGCCATTAGCCAGTGGCTGCCAGACGGCTGTTGCTCCAGTTCCAGGCTGTTCGGCGAACCCACGGCCACCTCGTTGCCGGAGCCATGGGGACACCGTTCGCCCTCGGCCACCACGCGATTGCCGCACATGCACTCGTATCCGTAATCGGCCTGTAGGCACAATCCGTGGCAGTGGGCATGCACGCAAGGATGCGACGCCGGCTGCGGATGGCGCGATCTTCCTGCCACCACAATGTCCTGGGCGTTCAGCACATTCAAGTTGATCTTCTTGCAGGCACGCGTTCCATACAGAGCACACTGCACCGCTTCAATGGAGCCGAGGTTCACGATGTACGCATTGTTCTCGAACACGCTCAATCCTGAGGGATGCATCAACGCATTGGACTTCTGCAGCATTATCTGCGGTCGGCGCAGCGGTCCCATCTTGAACCTATAGCTGATCCTCTCCAGCGTGCGTGTGTGCAGGTCGACGAAGTACAACATCTGCTGATGCGGATCGATGGCCACGGCGGTCATGTAGCTCTCACTCCGCTGCATCAGCATATCCTTGCGACTGCCATCCAACCGGGCCATGTGAATCTCCGAACTCGTCTGGCCAAAGCCCTCCGTGTGTATCGCCAAATAAAAGAGCTTTGCGTGGTAGCCATCCACAGTTAGGTGCTTGATGTGCTTGGGATTCTTCACGTGCAGCACTCTGCCGCACATGCGCGAATCAAAGTTGCAGGCCTGGATCTCCTGACCGGCTGCAGCCACCACATACACATTGCCAGTGGCCCAATCCAGCGAGACTTTCGTGGGAGTAGACAGAGCCAAGGCGCGCACTACGTGCTTCTTTTGCAAATCGAATTGGTATACGATGCTCTCTTCCTCGGCGGAGAAGTAACCCATTTGCCGCTCCATATCCACATCGAAGCCGGAGATCTTCGAATCATTCGCTGACCAGGCAACACTGAGCATCACGGGCTGTTCGCTGAGGTTCCTCACTTCGTTGAAGCTGCTGAAGAGCAGAGTGGCGCCCGCTTGAAGACTCTTGCAGCTGACGCGATCCTGGCGCAGCATGAAGTCCGCATGGCACTGGCATTGATAGCCACCGAGAGTGTTCTCGCACAGCTGGGCACACGGCTGCTGCTCCTGGCACTCGTCAATGTCCGAGCAACTCCTCTGATCCGCGTCCAAGCGATAGCCATCGAAGCAGGAGCACACGGCGCCGGCAGGAGTGGCTCGACACTTGTGCTGGCACACCTGCCGACCGGCTGCGGATCGGCAGGCCGTGGCGCACTGGGGTCCCTCGTCGCGTCCGTTGGAACAGTCCGGAAAGTTGTTGCACACCCGCGACATGTCCACGCACTCGCCATCGTGGCAATCGTACAAATGCGGCCGACAAGCGCGCCTCGAAGTGGCCCACGGTTGAATCTGACTCTGGTTGTGGCTGCCCTTCTCCTGTTCGCAGTTCACCTCATCGCTGCCATCGCTGCAATCCCGTTCGCCGTCGCAGCGGAAGTCCCTGCGGATGCACTGCCCACCGGATCGGCACTTGAACTCGTTGATGTTGCACACGTCGCCGCAATCGGCTTCATCCTCGCCACGCGGACACTCCGCGGTTCCGTTGCATCGAACAGCGGACGGCAGACAGATCTTCAGGTTGCTGGTGCACTGGTACTGATCTTCGGTGCAGGATATATTCACTGCTGATGAACCGGGTCCGCAGTTCAGTTCGTCCGATCGATCGCCGCAATCGTTGTGGCCATCGCACACCAGACTCCGGTCCAAGCACTGACCCAACAGACAGCGGTGCATGTCCGGCGGACAGCTGCGATGGCTGCACTTGTCGTGCTCATCCGATCCGTCGCTGCAGTCGATCCGTCCGTCGCACTCCCAGCTGCCCGCAATGCAGGACCCGCTGCTGCACTGGAACATCCCTGTCTCGCAGGCCGCGGATGCATCACACATCGTCTCGTCGGAGTTGTCGCCGCAGTCGTTGGTGCCATCGCACACCAGACTGGAGTCCACGCACTTTCCATTGTCGCAGGCATGCTGGTGGACATGGCACTTCTTCGTTTTGTCTGTGGAGAGGAAATTAAAGGGGATTGGTTAAGTAAGGCCAGAAGGTTTTATATTATGATGTGTTTTCCATTTCACAAAATTTCAACTATTTTTACCATGGATCTTTTCCAACTTTCTGCAAAGATATACTAAGTGTACGCTCCACTCCCTGTTTGAGTTTTCTGAGTGGACACAATCACTCAGGTTTCTCCGGATTCGCTTACCGAACAACTCGCAGTGCAGCTCGTCCGACTGATCGTGGCAATCCTTCCGCTCGTCGCAGCGACGCTCCTTGTCCACGCACTGATCGCCACTGTGGCAGGCGAACTGCTTGGGCGAGCAGGAAACCTTCGTCTTCCGACGGTGCTCCTCGTCGCAGTCCATCTCATCCGAGTTGTCCACACAATCGCGGCGTCCATTGCAGCGATGCGGCATCGTCAGACATTCGCCGCTGCGGCAACGGAACTCGCAGTCCAAAGCCTCCACACAGGTGCGATTGCCCGCATCCCGATACACAAATCCGGCTGGACACAAGCAGATGGCGTGGATGGGACCTTCGCCCACGCAGATATGGGAACAGCCACCGTTTTGCTGCTGGCAGGGATGCGATTCCCGGCTGACGGGCGAACTGGAGGCCAGCGGAATCCTACGCGGTGCGGCGATGGGAACACTAGGTACAATGGCACCAGGATCACCCTTCGCCTCTATGTCAATCCGCTTGCGCGGACCCATGTTGCTCTTGTGCGTCCAGTAAATCCCCGGTGAGCCTAGTTCGCTCCAGAAAAGATCCTGCTGGACGAGAGCCAAGCTGTACGGCTTCCTCAGTTTCCCCCGGAAGGTTTGCATCTGCGACTGCCTGTAGTCTGAGTAGCTGATCCTGCCCAGATCGCTGTCCGACCAGAAGAGCGTGTGCGTCTCGTAATCGGCGGCCAGCTTGATGTCATCATCGCCCAAATCGTCCTCGAATACGTGCACCTGCTCTCCCTTTCCGCTCAGCGGAATCCTGTCGATGTGCGTGTGCCTTCGAGCCTTCAGCACCACATAAAGATAACCCTCCGCCGGCATGACGCTCAGTCCAATGGGCCACTCTTGACCAGGGAAGAAGCGGATCAGCGCACGATGACGCGTCTGCAGGGAGAGCAGCTCGATCACACCCCGCTCCACGTCCGCCCAGTACAAGTTGCGGCTGAGATGATCGAAGGCCAAGGCGCTCACATTTCCCAGATTCGAGCGCACCAGCACGCTGGTCTCGTGCTCCTCCGGCTGATACTCCAGGATCAGACGCTGATCATTATCCGCTATGATGAGGCTGCCATTGATGCGATTGTAGACCATTTCGTGGATGGAACAGGGAAGCGTGTGCGATTTGCTCACCACATGGCGTCCGAAAGCGGTGTGCTCGATCTCCAGCAGCACTTGTGCCAGACCCACAAACAATCGCTGGCGCTTCTCGGTCAACGTGCAGCGCTGCTGATCCGCCGACAGCACCATTCCCTCCGGACAGGCGCAACTGAAGCCACCGGCATCCGGTTCGGCCAGGAGACAGAGATGGGAGCACCTGGCCTTCGCACAACCATGATCGGAATACGGCTGTTTGGCCGGGTGATAGATGTGCACAGCGTAAATGGTTCGATCCTTGGCCAGAACGCGATGACCCTTGCCGGAGAACTTGTGGCAGGCATGCAGGCTCTTCGTCGCCCAATCCGACCAGTACAGCTGATCCTCGAAGATGGCCAGGCCGTACGGGTGCTTCAGCATCCCATCCAGAACTGTGCGACGACCAGTGCCATCGGGCCGAACCGTTTGCACACTGCCCAACTTGGCGTCCACCCAGTAGATCCTCTGCTGGTGCATATCCAATGCAATGCCATTCGGCCAATGGATATTGTCACTCACAATCGGACGCGATCGACTGCCATCCATGGAGGCACGGCCAATCATGGGCCTGGCACCCCAATCCGTCCAGAACATCAGACCCCGCTGGGGCCACAAGGCCAGGGAACGCGGCTGGTGGACATCCTGCGTGACCAACACGGCACAGTGGAGGCCATCGTTCGAGCACACGGCAATGTGTCGCATTATATTATCGGAAAAGTAAATATTCTGCGTTAGCCAATCCACTGCCAGGTCTTCGGGGGCATCCAATCCGGAGGTGAGTAGGATCTCTGCATGCGAACCATCGTTGTTGGCCTTCACAATGCTCTCCGCCTCGTTTTGGATGTTCGTCCAGTAGATGTGGCTGCCATCGTAGGCCACGCCAATGACCTTGCTCAGATTTCCGGCCACCTGGAAGACATGGTTTCTCACGTTGTCCTCGCGCAGGTGCATTCCCATCACGGTCATTTGGGTGGTGTACAGCAGCAGTGGCTGGTGATCCGCATTGGCGCGACAGGTGCGATTATCGCTGGTTATCAGGTACCCCGCATCACAGACGCATCGATATCCGCCGGAGGTGTTCTCGCAGCTCTGGCTACACAGATCATCCCGCTCCTGGCACTCGTCAATGTCCTCGCACTTGTCCTCGAACTTTGCCTGACGGAATCCCGACGGACAGTGGCACTCCGCTCCACCGGTGGGCATCATCTGGCACTTGGCACCTGGCGGGCACTTCTTCACCGTGCAATCCGGCTTCGATGTGCAGCTCTCCGACTCGTCGCTTCCATCGGAACAGTCGCGGTGGCCATCGCACACTTCAGTCAGCGGGACACAGGCTTCGCGATTGCGACACAGGAATTTTCCCATCTCGGGTTGGCAGAGGTTCGCTGAAGAAAGGAAAGTTTTGTAATTGGTTAATCACTTTAATGCAGAAGTTAATATTTTAGGCATATTATTTGCCTTAACTTACCGCATGCCTTTTCATCGCTTCCATCGCCACAATCATCGACGCCATCGCAAACCCAGTGCTTTCGTCGCAGGCATCTTCCATTGGAGCAGAGATGTCCCTCGGCAGAGGAGCAGGTGGACTCCACCTGCTTGCAGCCGGCCACCTCGTCCGAATTGTCGACACAGTCCTTCCGTCCGTCGCACATGAACTCGATCGGGATGCAGCTGCGGTCCTGCTGACAAGTGAACTCAGTGTCGCTGCAGTTGCGCTTGCGGTGGACGTCTCCGAAACGGAATCCCGAGCGGACCGGGCAGTTGAGCTCATCCTCGCCGCCGGGACAGTTGTCGATGCCGTTGCACATTAGTTCCGCTGCCAGGCAGGCTCCGTGTGGCTGGGCACACGGGAACCAATGAGGCGGTCGGCACAGTTTGTAGTCTTTATATTAGATATGGAATGAAAATATATATAATTTAATAATTTTATTTTATGTTTTTGGATGTTTTGCAATAGCTAAGTTTTAAACATACATACATACATAACCGCTTTCAAGGGTTATAAGATTTCCTTAAGTTCCACTCACCGCAGTCCAGTTCATCCGAGCCGTCCTTGCAGTCTCCGCGTCCGTCGCACATCTTCGCCTGTAAGATGCAGCCGTCGTCTCTGCACCGGAATTGTCCAACATCGCACCGCGTGTCCGCTGATCCCGGCGTGCCGGCAGCAGTCGCACCGCAAAGGAGAACAAGGACAAAAAGTCGGAGCAGCGGGATAATGGCCACGTGGCGCGCAGCAGCTCTACGGGATGCGAATCCATTGGTGGGATCGTTTTTCAGGCGATTTCCTGGATCTCCGCTGCAATGGCGAGCGCGTGTTTGCGAGGTTAGGTTGAATCCTCGCCGGCCGACGTTCATCTTCGGGCTCTCTGCTCGGTTCCTTCTCTTTCCGGTGGGCACCTGGTGCTCCGCCACACACATTCAACACAAAACACACAACTTGAATAGACAATTATTAATTGAAATAGCGAAAAAACAACAAAGTAACAAGAACAAGGAAATACGGCTTGCAGCTTTGAAAGCCGAAAACGAATTGAACGAGGAAACCGTTCTGTTCCAGTGGATTAAGCCAGTCGTCGGGCTTTGGAAAAGCACCGTTAACTTCGAGTGACCAGAGGGACTAGACAAGAAAACACCACTAAGGTTGGGCAGGAAAAAGGGTTACTTGTAATTGGTATTTAAAGAAGAAAAGCAAACATTTAAAACAATTAACAGCATATTTTTCGAAGTGTATGCCAAATACCGCACCCGGGTGGCAACGTCCAGCGATCGGGGTACTACCCATTCCAAAACTCGACCATCACATATCAAATCATGGATCGCAAAAGGATTGCACCAAATACAGAGTGATTAATTAGCTGGCTATGATGTCAGCGTGTGTCTAGAAATCTCGAAGCGCGTCGCTGCAGTGGGAAACCGCGGGACCCAAAACAGAAACATCTGCCCATTCCGATGACCCATTGCAACAATTAATAACGGTTATGCCGCAAGATTTATGAGCGACGACATATAAACAAGACCAAAGCGCTTTAGCCGTCGACCGCGAAATGTCATAAAAAATCAGAGACAAAACCCGAATTGCTTAGAAACCAGAAGAGCACTCACAAATTGTATAATTAAGGAAAAGAGCGAGTGCGACTTCACACGCCGTAGGGGGCGTGCCGCACTCGTAAAAATAAAAACTAACGCAAAGCCAAACCCAAACTTGGGAATGCACTCAGAGAAAAATGTAGCAAGTTTTTCGATCAGGTCAATATAGCTTATGAGAAAACAGCAGCTCAAATTTTACTAAATGAATTGCAAAGTTCAAATGAAGAAATTATAAATACAAATATAAAACAGAAGCGATTATTGTGCTAGATGACGCATATTGCTATTACAATTAATTAAATTAATTTAAAAATGAAAGGTAAATCTACTATTTATATCGTATTTCAATAACTTTAAAAGAATTTCCTTTCAGTGCATACACTCTATAAGGCACAGCTCGGCGAACGTGGTTTTTCCACGGCCAGACAATTTCGGGGCTTCTCCGCTGGATGAGTCCGAGTCGTGGGATATCGAACGAGCGGCGATGACAACCGAACATGACGAACTTTTCAAAGTTAGCCAGCTGCTGGGACTCTTCTGTCCGGTTGCCCGTTGAATAATGGGCCCTGTCCGCCGACATGTCCGCGTCAAGGCGTTAAAATCAGTTGTAAGGTATTTGGGTGCACAGCGAGCGATTCGCGCTTAGAAGCGTATAAAAACTAGAGCCGGCCGCTGGATTAGCAACAGTTGATCGTCGGCTTCCATTCGGTGCATACAGCTAATAGAAACCTAATCCTTCTCAGGACTTTACGAACCTAATCCCAAATCATTCTCAAAATGGTAAGAAATAATAAAGCGTAGTTACCTATTTCATGGATACATATTACCATTTATTTTTTGTCTTTTAATATTTATCTAATATGTACTACATTTTCTAATTTATTTTTTAAAATTTTCAGAACTCCCTCGCCATCCTCGCAATCTTCGCCGCCTCCTTGGCTTTCTGTGCCGGCGATGTGTCGCACTTGTCGCGCAGCTACCTGCCACCCCTGAGCGGTGGCTACTCCGGCTACTCCTCCGGATACTCCTCGTATCCGTCGTACTCGAGTGGATCCGGATACTACTCGGGCGGCGGCAGCTATGCCTCGCCGATCGTCTCGTCCAGCTACAGGAGCTATGCGGTGCCGCAGTACACCACCTACACCTCGCCCTCTCGCACCTACTTGCCAGCGGATACCGGCTACTCCGGATACTCGGGCTACTCCGGCTACTCTGGCCTGGACACCAAGTACGGCAGCAACGGCGGCTACGTCTACTAGGCCAAGTACCCATGAAATGGAGGCCCTAACTGAGAGGCAACAATGGAGCAAGCGGACAACTATATTCCCCTATTTTTTTTTCCTTGGCTAAGCAATTTTTTTTGTGCAATTTATGGTTACTAAACTTTTTCGAGTGCTTAATATTGATTAACATACATTTCAATTTGTTTTTTAATTTTGGTGGAATGTTTTCAATATGATACACCTACTAGGCGTTTCTGTTTGCCTGGTATCTGCCATAAAGAATCATACCTCTTTTAGCCACTCCTTATGAGGATATTCTATAAACCACTCATCATTTTCAATAAAGCCCCAATCTAATAAAAAACATTTTATTTACATTTATTTTTATTATAGCAGATAATTTTAAATCAATTCGATACTTAATAATATGTTAAAATCTATAATGTAATATCCTACATTTGAAAGATATCTCTAAAGAAACACAAACCCTTAATAATTATAAATCTTAATTATAAATCGCTCCTCCAAGACGAATAATTGTCTGCTGCTCCTCGAACAATCTCCGAACGTGGTTCCACTGCTCTCGTTGATCAATGGGTAGATGGGTTAATGGGTAGAGCAGCCAGAAAATAGAATTGAATATGTTATGGTTTCATAAAAAATAAATGGATTTGAGAAATGCCCATAACTTTTTGATTGATCTCTTATTTTGAAGTGGCATACCTCAAAAAGTTATGTGATTTAATTCTTTAACAAACTGCATCATTAGTTAATTTTTTTATTTTTGGTCGATTTTTTTCAATTCCAGAACTTAAAATTGTACAAATTTTTTTTAAGAAGTCAGATTTTAACGTAAAATACCTTCTAAAAAAACTACATACTTCTGAATTACCTTTGGGAAAGTATTTTTGCTTTTCCAGTTCCTTAACAAAAAGATCAGAGTGAATTGCATTCTTAACTTTATTTCGTTCGATAAAAAAAAAAAATTGTAGAAATTGTTGTTCGATTGATATGTTTGTTGTTGAGATCCTTTTAATGCTTCAGGCGGTATTCGTAGCCGCCGTTCGAAGCGTAGGAACCGGATTTATGTCCCGATCCGTAGCCAGATCGCAGACCCGATCCTTGAACAGAACCGTGACTGTAACTGGATCCAGAGGCGGAAGAAGAAGCAGATCCATATCCACCATAGCCAGATCCGTGGCTAGCTCCTGCGTAACCCTGGCTGGATCCCTGGCTGGAGCCCGAGTAACTCACATGGGAGACAGCTGGGGCGGCATAGGTCTTCCTGGAAGCCACCGGAGCCGAGTAGGAAGCCACTGGAGCGGCGTAGGATCCATGGGACACAGCTGGAGCGGAGTAGGATGATCCAACGGAGCTGTAGCTTGACTGCGAAGCAGCTGGAGCCAGATATTGCCGGGAAGGAGCTGCCACAGGAGCGGAGTAACTGGTATGGGTGTAAGAAGCAGCAGGAGCGGAGTAGGAACCACGAGAAGCTCCGCCAGAGGAGTACGATCCATGGGAAACTGCGGGTGCGGAGTAGCTCTTGTGGGAAACCACGGGAGCGGAGTAACTGCTATGGGAAACGGCAGCGGGAGCTAAGTACTTCCTGGAGGGAGCGGCCACAGGAGCAGAGTAGCTGGTGTGCGAGGCAGCGGAGTAGGATCCATGGGATGCAGCAGGAGCTGAGTAGGATCCCGAGGAGTACGATCCATGGGATGCAGCAGGAGCGGAGTAAGATCCGTGGGAAACAGATCCAGCGGAGTACGATCCTTGGGAAACCGATGGAGCAGCGTAAGATCCATGAGATACAGATGGAGCAGCGTAAGATCCATGAGATACAGAAGGAGCTGCATAAGATCCATGGGATGCAGCTGATCCCGAGTGGGAGGAACCTCCCGAGCTGTAGCTACTCTGGCTGGCAGCTGGAGCCAAGTACTGCCTGGAAGGAGCCGCCACGGGTTGAACCCTTCGGGCGTAAGTGGCCGCCGGAGCTGCATAAGATCCCGAGGAACTCGAAGCCGCCGCACTATATCCACTCTGGACACCCACCTTCGGTGGCAAGTAGGTGTTACTCAGGGGGGTTACCAGACCCACGGAGGCCAAGGCCAAAATCACAACAGCAAAGGAGCGCTAAAAAGAAAAAAATCGAGGTGAATCTTAAGTTAAGTCATCATCCCGAAGACCACTTACCATTCTTAAAGGGATTCTCGGCTTATGGGCTTTTCTAGCTGCTGTTTCAGCGTTGTGGGAATTGGAACTGATGCCACAGTCGCCGCGAGCCAACACTTTTATAGGAAACCTCGAACAATGGGTGTGCAGGTACAAATCTTCCAATCCCCCAAAGAAGCACACGCAAAAAGTGGAGAGCAAAAAAAAAAAAAAAAAAAAAAACAATCACAGAGCTGAAGCGCAAAAAATAAAGCAATGCTATTAGAACGCAATGGAATGGGGCGGCAAGAGTTTCTGGTGTTGATGATCGTAGTTTCGGTGGCTGCTGTTGATTAAACGCACACTTAACTACATCACATTAGTTCCGAAGAAATACTTAACAGAAGTGCCAAGCTACTACTTTTATTTCCCAGCTTTAGTTAGTGGCTTTTAGCTTGCCAAATTAGTAATGATACAATGGGACATTAAATTTACATAACTCCCACGCTTAAGTTCTTTTCTACAAAAAGAATAAGAATAAAGACCTTAGTCGAAAGAATAATTTGTGAAACGAAAAATATAATATATTAAATTAAAGTCGTACAACTAGAATACAGAAAAACTGTTTAATGTTAAAATTGAATTCCCTTAAATCCCTAAAAATTGTTCGAGTTGAGGGAATTCATTGCATATTTAATATTACCTCATAAATATGGTTCCTTGACTAAATTTTGTTCCTGACGTTAAAGTTGAAACCCTGTTGATTAGTGCCAATAAAGAATGGCGCGATTGGAGGATGTCGTAGAGTCTATTTATTTGTCCGTTTATTTTTAGCCCTGTCCATTTCGGAAGTCGCCGAAGGTAATTAATGATGCGCTCTGCCGCGGGTGAGAAGTTCGCGGGTTCGTGAGCCCGGTAATCCAAGCCAATCCAAATCCAAATCCAAAAAAGAAAAAAAGAGTAAAGAGTAAAAAAGCGGAGAGACTGAGGATCGAATTGGAATAGATTGGATTCGAATTCAGAGCCCCCATGCACTGACAGCCCGCTTCGAATGGCATCGATTACTCACCGCACACATTAATTATAATCCACACACATCGCTTAATGGCTTAATGGTCAGGCACCTTTTTGCTTGTACTCGCTGTGTTTATGTCTTTTGCGTGCGTTTATATAATTAAAACAAAATGCTGAGAGCCGAGGAATTAACAACAAACAAAAAACAAGGCGATGAGTTTATGGTGGATGTTAAAAATACCCTTGTAAGTCCATTGGGTCAATTTGCATAAAATTGTCAAAGTCATTCGCCGCATTTTATTGTTCAACAATTTATTGTCATAACTGTTTAGGAAACGAAGCTGCTATCATAAGCAATAAATTTACTACCTGTTTATTTTGGCAAAGAAAAGTAATTTCAATACGATTTTGTGGAATAGAAAATATTAAACATTTTGAAGATATTATAATTATAACCTTCCTTCCTAGATTTGTATATCTAATGACAGATATTCTTCTCTAAAAGTTAGTATACCCATTTCTTGTAGAGCACAACAAGAAAACAAAATCACACTAATTAAAGTTTGTCTACGAGATGCGTACTTGAGTTAGGTGAATAGTTTTGGAAGTTCATTTTGGACCGAAGATCGGTTGAATGGAGTTATCTTTTAGCAGATCAGTTTGTCTTCAGATGTCTTCCAATCTAATTCGATTGTGTTTGCAGATAAAATGTTCTTCAAATCAATGCTAAATAAATCCGCAAAGTAGTTTATTGAGTGTTGAAAACTCGGGAAATGTGTTGCTTTTTTTATATAAATATATTTTTTTTTTGTGGAAATTAAATTGGTTTGTGCAAAAAGTTTTCCTTTTAACATTTCCTTAAATGAAATAAAAATTGGTAAAAACACAAAATAAATTAAAAAAGTATTTATTACAATTAATAAAGCTTATCTTTTATAAAGCACCAAAATATAAAAAAAAATGTATCTGGTTTTCACCACTAATGTATTTTATGTTGATAATACCACATCGCGTTTTAAACATATATAAAATGCACTTGAAACTACTTCTACTTCCTTAGTCTGGTTTCCTGGGCCAGTTCCTTGGCATATGCCACAAATAGGATGTTATGCTTGCTGGTCACCGGCTTTCCATCGTCCTGATCGTGTCGCACCTGAAGGGAATCCGAATCCAGAGTGACAGAGCCAACCAACTGACCAGGTTTCAGATAATAGTTCTGCCCCAGCGAAGTGGGTCGGTGCTCGGTGATGAACTCGTATCTCATGGGTTCCAACTCCTCGATGATGAGTTTCGGTCGAGTGGTGGTGACCTCCGAGTCCGTTGCCATATAAGTTACTGGATTGGCGCCAGTTAATGTAAGCAGGGCCAAAGCAAAGGTGAATATGTAACCCTTTTTCGACATGACTTATGTTATGCAATGTAACGCTGTAAATCCGAAAACCGATTCCTGCGGCTGGCAATTCCTCAATGCGATTCTTGACCGCCCAGCGGCATTCTTTTATATCCTGAGCTGGAAGTCCGGAGCCTCCAGGAAGAGCTCTCTCCAGCAGAATGGCCTGATTCTTGGCCGCTCTCCTCTTCATCGCCTTTCGATTGTTTTTGTCTCAGTTCGACAATTTCGCCTTGCCTTGCTTTGGGCATAACAAGTTTTTGGACATTAACCCGATTTCGATTTCGCACTAAGCGATACAATTTATAAATGTATGCATGCTTACACATATGTGTATGAATATATATGTATATATGGATATCGGGTGTATATAATGCACACACGCCACTTTGGTCCATTCACAAGAGAAACGGCAGAGGCAGTGGAAAAGGCAAACAGAAATGCAAATTCGGATATACTGCCATTTGGGCATATATATATCCGTATAGGGACGGTATAGAGTGGGACTCGCCTGACGACAGACATAAATATAAATTCACGATGCCAGTTGCACGATCTCGCCGATTGGATCCGTATAATTAATAAGCTCTGCTTTTAATGGCAAATAAATGTTTGCCATCCCCTCCTCTTATTTATCATTTCGCTCGATATTCGTATTTATGACTTCTTGATTTGCCGCAATAGTTTAAAAACTTGTATAACACTTGGCTAGCACATTTTCATGGGTTTCTCTGAAAAGTGGCAATCGCAAACTGACGACTGCATTTAAGGTTTTGGGACCGTTGACTGTTTAATTGGCTGTGATGTTGCGATTTTATGACGCTTTTTATCGGATTTAAAGGAGCCAATCTGAAATGAAAGCGGCTTTGTTTAATGGTTATGTGTCTCCTCAAAGGTAAAAAATGCAAACAATAACAAAAGTTTAACAATGCAATAATTGGAAGCTGTGCTATAAACTTTAAGGCTGAAAGATCAGCGAAGTTGTATGTATAACAACAATCTATAAACACGTTTTTATAAATTTTTAACCAGGTTAGAAAATAGATTAAAAAAACGGAAAAAAAGGGAAAGTGGAATCAACTTGAATTATAATGAAATAATTATAACTATAAGAATTATAAGATTATTTTTAATAATCCGAATTGGATAAGGTCTTGGAACTTGTAACTTGTACTTAAATTGTCGTCCACTTAATAATCTTTGCAGTAAAAAAAACGCCATTTAATCAGCATACTAATAATTAAATATAATAATGGATTCGTCATCTTGATAACTAAATCGGTTACCAAATCAGAATACAATGTGCATTCTATACAACAAAATTTGCGGTTTTGAAAGAATCAAATATTTACCTTTGTTCAATCCCGGTTTTATGCAAAAACGATTAAATCTCTTGGGAATTACCTCATGACTAGAATCTTAGAACTGGCCAAACCAGAAAAATTATTAAATTTTACAGCCAACTAGGCTTTGGGATACCAAATGGAATCAGGCAGCGAATCTTTGCCTCTTGATTGTTTGATTTGTATGACAATAACCTTACCATATAACTTGTTTAATAATAATAGATTAGATTTCTTTGTTTTTAGCACATTACATTCGATTTATTGTAGGAAAAAAAAAGGTTTTTGTCGTATGATTAGCTTCGTTTTGGGATGCAGTCTTTAGTAGACGTATCCACCGTTGGAGCCGTAGACGGTGCCGGAGGATCCCGACGATCCGGAGTAGCTGCTGCTCACCACCGAGGGGGCCGAGTAGCTGGAGTAGGTCTTGGCCACCACGGGAGCGGTGTAGCTGGACACAGCTGGTGCGGAGTAGGTGGACACGGCTGGGGCGGAGTAGGTCTTCACAACAGCGGGAGCGGTGTAGGAGGAGACAGCGGGAGCGGTGTAGGTCTTGGCGGTGTAGGAGGACACAGCCGGGGCGGAGTAGCTGGACACAGCGGGAGCGGTGTAGGACTTGACCACAGCGGGAGCGGTGTAGGCCTGGGTGTAGGAGGACACAGCTGGAGCGGAGTAGCTCTTGACCACAGCCGGAGCGGTGTAGGTCTTGGCTACCACGGGGGCGGTGTAGGTCTTCACTACGGCGGGTGCGGTGTAGGTCTTGGCTACCACGGGAGCGGTGTAAGTCTTAGTCACAGCAGGAGCGGAGTAGGAGGACACGGCAGGAGCGGAGTAGCTCTTCACCACAGCGGGAGCGGTGTAGGACTTAACCACAGCGGGAGCGGTGTAGCTGGACACAGATGGAGCGGAGTAGGTCTTCACCACAGCGGGAGCAGTGTAGGTCTGGCTGTAGCCGGACACAGCGGGAGCGGAGTAGCTCTTCACGACGGCAGGAGCGGAGTAGGAGGACACAGCCGGGGCAGTGTAGGTCTTGGTGGCCACGGGAGCCACGTAGGAGGCAGCGGGCTGCTCGTAGGTCTCCTCGGCAGCGGCTTCGACAGTCTCGGCGGCGTAGGAAGCGGTCTCCTCAGCTGGGGCGGCATAGGACTCGCTGTTGTAGGAGGCAGCTGGGGCGGAGTAGGACTCGCTCTCGTAGGTGGTGGCGGCGGCAGGAGCCTCATAGGTCTCCGAAGCGGCGGCCTCAACGGGAGCGGCCTGGTAGGACTCGTAGCTGGTGGAGGCAGCTCCGGAGTGGGGAGGCAGGTAGGTGTTGGCCAAGTGGCTGACATCGGCCGAAGCCAGAGCCAAAAGGGCAAGCGAAAGGACAGCGAAGAATTTCTAAAAAATTATAGAACAAATTTACAAAGTTAGGAAAATATATACAACAAAAAACGATTTAAAGATTTCGCGAAAAGGAAACTGTACTCCCAGTTAGAGGTGTCTCATCCAAAGCTTACCATGTTGCTGGGACCGAAGTTGTGAGAACACTAGTACCTTGTCCACAATCAGGCAACCTATTTATAGTCGAGGCAAAAAAATGTCGGGCCAACTTGATACACGAATGTCAAAAGGCGCTACGAAAACCAGAACAAACGCACACCGAAAAGCCAAACAAACTATATCGTTTATACCTTTTAAACCAGCCATCGACAAATAAAAGAGCAATAATAATGAAGCATTTCGTCCGCGAAGCTCATTAGCCGCCCATAATATTCCGACTTTTCACCGTTTCCACTCCCCTAACGATTCTCATTCTAAGCTCGAGCTCCAATCTGAATCAGAATCCGATTCTGTGGCTTGCGAATCCGAGATGATGATGTTGATAATGGGGAAGAAATGCTATGCATGAGAAATGGCATACACGGCCCGTACGAAACTCGTTATTGAACTCCATTCATAAGTCGGTTCCGTCACTTACTCATCCATCAAAGCGGATTCGGATTCGGATTCGGAGGTTGGAGTACAGGCAGCCAGCATCGACCGAGTTCTGGAAAGTTACTCCATTAATCATTGGGGGGGAATTACCAGGGGAACAATGGCTTACACACTTTCGGCTTACAATGTCCGCTGAATGGGAATCAACATCCTTGAAGTCTCTTCAGAAATATAAACAATCTATATTGGTTGATTAAAGAACTTTTACAGAAATCCCAACCAATTCTTTTCACAGCTTTAGAACAATAATCCATTTTATAAATCCATTTATAAAAACACCGAACCAGGACTTTCAAAGACTATCTTGCGAAAGTCTTTTGAACCCAATAAACAGATTTAATTTATTATTCTTAGAAAGATCAATAAATATCACCAGTTTAGGAATTAAATTTAGCTATTATGTTTCTAATGTATCCACCTTATACTTTATTATAGGACAAACCCGCTTTAAGTGATTTATAATTTGCGGCTTACCGTTTTGTGAAATAGCCATAACTCAAGTCACCGATGGAAGATGGAGTTTCATGATTAGTACTGGAATTTCAGGAATTGTTCTAAATAAGAGAGATTTATTTACGCGATATGGTTTTGTTCTTAAAATGCCAATTAAGGTAGATATAAATGTCTTTAAAAGATTTCAATGCGCTAAATAGGTACAGATCAAAAATTAGTGAAACAAACATGTCTAGTATTTTGGAGAAACTTCTCTGCGAAAAGTTAATTACTGATACCTCGAATGACATTCTATTTTATTGCAAGCAGGTTTTGTATTCCACTTTCAATTGATACATCTATATTTTACCTGTTGTTTGTAATTAAATTATTTGATAACCAATTGCACAATGAAGGCACACAAATGAATCACCAATAACTAACCGGTTTTCAATTCCACAATGTCCTGTTAAATCTCAGGAATAAAATGAATTTATTATACTGTCCATTCGAATGTTGCTCGACTTCCTTCTCAATAAAATATTCAAATGAAGCCACATTCTATTTTTTTTAACAAAAACAGTTTATTGGTAAACAAAAACGTAACAAAAATTTGTATAACGAAAAAAAGGTGCTAGAAATTGGCTACGTAACACTAAGTTCAGATGAACCGATCAGCGATCGATGTTCGGTTGCCCAACTCGATGCGAGTTCGGACTTCCGCCGGGGTCCTTTCACTGGCATCCGCCTACTTGTACAGGTATCCACCGTTGGCGGCGTAGCTCGTTCCGATCTCCACGGAAACTGGAGCAGGAGCGGGAGCACTCACGATCTCAGTCTTCTGGACAATGGGAACGGAAACGGGAGCAGGAGCAGGAGCAGGGATTGAAACTGCAACTGGAGCGGGAGCGGGAGCATAGGAGATCTGCTGCTGCTGTTGCACCGCTGGTGGGTTGTACTGTACAATGGGCTGGGCTGGCTGCTGCACTTGGATGGGTGCCGGTGGTGCGGGCACAAAGGATTGCTGCAGCTGGATGGGAGCAGGAGCAGGAGCAGGGATGGAAATGGGAGCAGGAGCAGGAGCAGAAATGGAAATGGGAGCGGGAGCAGGAGCAGGAGCTGGGATCACCACGGGAGCTGGAGCTGGAAGGGAAACCTGAACTGGAGCTGGCTGGGGTGACTGGTAGGAGTAACCACTGTACTGCGGCTGCTGCACGATCTGCTGAATTGGTTCAGGGATCGAAACGGGCGCCGAAGCGGAGTAGGTCTGCTGAACCACAGGAGCTGGAGCCTGCTGAATGACCTCCTGAACCACTGGAGCGGGTGCGGAGTAAGTCTGCTGAACCACTGGAGCTTGCTGAACGATTTCCTGAACTGCCGGGGCTTGCTGAACCACTTCCTGAACCACTGGAGCGGGAGCAGAGTAAGTCTGCTGAATAACGGGAGCCTGCTGAATAACTTCCTGAACCACTGGAGCTGGAGCTTGCTGAACAATCGGAGCGGGAGCAGTGTAAGTTTGCTGATCCACTGGAGCTGGAGCTTGCTGAACCACTTCCTGAACCACTGGAGCTGGAGCCTGCTGAATTACAGGAGCTTGCTGAATAACGGGAGCCTGCTGAACCACTGGAGCTGGGTAGGAGTACGCCTGCTCAACAACTGGAGCGGGAGCTGGTGCACTGTAAGTCTGCTGAACCACCTGAGGCTGTTCCTGAACCACCGGAGCGGGAGCGGAGTAGGTCTGCTGAACCACTGGAGCGGGAGCTGGAGCAGTGTACACTTGTTCTTGAACCACTGGAGCGGGAGCCGGAGCGGAGTAAGTCTGCTGAACCACTGGAGCTGGTGCGGAGTAGGTCTGTTCCTGAACCACTGGAGCGGGAGCGGAGTAAGTTTGCTGAACCACTGGCGCTGGAGCACTGTAAACTTGTTCCTGAACCACTGGAGCCGGAGCGGAATATGTCTGCTGAACCACTGGAGCGGGAGCAGAGTAAGTTTGTTGAACCACTGGAGCAGGAGCGGAGTAGGTTTGCTGCACCACCTGATGTTGTTCATAGACCGCAGGCACTGCAACTGGAGCGGGAGCAGTGTAGGTGGTGGTAATGGTCTCCTGCTGTGGTGCAATGGTCTCAACCACTGGTTCCGGAGCGGGCACGAACTGCTGGACGGGAGTGGGTGGCAGGTAGGCGTTCTTCACCGCCGTCTGGGTGGCCAAAATGGGCTTGGGTGCCTCGTAGATCACCTGGGGAGCTGGCTGTTGGATCTCCACGGGAGCGGGTAGGGAAACGGGAGCAGGAGCAGGAATGGAAACGGGAGCGGGAGCAGGAATAGAAATTGGAGCTGGGGCAGGAATGGAAACCGGAACTGGTGCCGGAGCACTCTGGTACTGCTGCTGCTGCTGTCCGCCCGACTGAATGGTGAAGCTGGCCAGCGGAATGGAAGCTCTGATGGACTCCACTTGGGGCTGGATCTGCGGCTGAATGTGGATCTGCGAGTGGAGCACCTGCTGCACCTGGCTCTGCACCTGGGGCTGCACCACCTGCTGGTAGCTGGGTGCGGCGGACACCTCCTTCACCGGCAGAGGTGGCAAATACTGGGCACCCGGACGTCCGCTCACCACCACCACCAAGCTGAGAGCAGCCAGAACAACGAAGGCAAAGGGTTTCTGCGGGTAGAACAAATCACATAGCATCACATGTCATATCATTCATTATCACTGGATACGTCACTTGAAAAAAAATTCGGTGGATAAAGGGTTTTCGAGATGGTCACTTACCATCTTCACTGGGGTCACTAAACCAACAACGGAGAGCTTGAGAGGTGCACCGAGCGAACGTAACCGATTAACTGATGACCAACTTGGAGACCCCATCTGCATTTATAGTTGGCAGCTCTCCCCTTAATTGGTGCGATCCACCAGATGTCTTGGCCACACGATGATTAAGGGAAAAGGGGGAAGGAGGGGGGGGGAATGCTAATGCAGATGGCCAACAATGAAATCATGCAAAACACATCTCATTTCGGTGCGGATTATTAAATGGGCAAAAGCACGACTCATCGCGGAGTCGCCAAAGCCTCCGTTTGATAACAAACAAAATCCGAATATGGCTGAGCCGGGTTACACACCGAGTTATAATGTGCATTTTTAATTTATCTGAGGACTCTACTTTTTTATAGCCTGGCAGCTGAGCGTATAAGTTAACACCCTGAAATTATATAAGAGGGACACTGAAAGTCTCCTAAAAATCTATTTAAATCATAGTAATTTGTGTGAAAAAGTATAAAACTTCTAGTCAAAAAAATTAACAGAAAGGTTTAGTTGTGTATTTTTATTTTAGCAATATTATTTGAAAGACCATTTATCTGAATTTAATAAAAGATTTTGTCTATTTTAATTGATTTCTAATTAAGGTTACTCATTTCAAAATTTGCATTGCCATCAAAGCAACTTAAATTTCAATAAATATAAGTAATTCGTTATTTGAATGCCAGTTTTGTTTTGAATTGTCTCTTCTGTTTTGTTTCAGTGTAGTAAATTGAAACAAAGCTGAAAAAAATTAATGGGTGTGCAAAAGCTGTTTAAATATTTATCAATATCTAGTTGGCATGGTTTATGTCCATCTGGCCAATTGACACCTTGGCCACTTCAGCTTGATGACCTGAGTGCATTGACTTCTCTTTTGAATAGCTGATGTGCGATGCATTTACTTGAAGAGAGTTTAAAACATAAACTATATTTTCAAGATTATAATAAAGACTACTATTCTCTTAATAAAATGATTTATTATGCATTTGTTTAATTTATGATTCGTTTTTTTTTGGTACAAACGAAATCATTTAAATGAAATTAAGAAATATAATTTATAGGCTGCGGTTAGCTAAGTGGAAGCTACATTCTCCCCGAAAAATCATTTCGGAGTTTTCACGCATTGCTACCACTTTCATCCATTGTTTTAGCCATCTCGAAATTTATGGCAAGATGTTAATCGCTCGTCGGCCGATTTCCCAACTTCTGAGATCTCAGTCGGTGGCAGACATGTGTCCAACCTTCGGACGTTTTCAATGGGCCATAAGTTATAGGTAATCAGGGGCCTCCGATTGTTCGGCGGGATCTCGATTTCGATTTCGATCACAATATGGATATTTTATATATGCATTTCGTAGGCGTGTGTCGCAGAGATTATGATAAGCGTGTTATGGGCGTACAACCGAGCCATTTTGAGATAATACAATTATTAATGCCAGATAATGCGGATCTTCGGAGGCCAAAACTTTTGAATGCGAACTTCTGCAGCATCTGGCGCTTTAGCTCCAAACACGCGCCTCAAACAAAAGGCCGAAGAAAAGTGACAAATTGAAAACAAGGTTCAGGTCCACAAAAGAAAATGTCAAGTTGAGGGCCCCTTGACAACCGCGGGCACAGTGGGGCTTAATTATGACTAATTGCCCTGCGAACAGCCTCTATAGCCAAAACCATAGCTCACGCTCGCGATGAATATTCAAGCGGAGTCTGGCGAAAATTGCAACAAGCTCGTAAATCGAATTGGATATGCCAACTGCGAAGCCAAAGGCCCATCTCCATTTGCATATGTTTGAACCAAAGAGTGGCTAAATACTAAAAGCTGCCAAAACGCTTGGTGGAATTTTAGATTAGATGGTAAAACCTAAAGCCTATTTTGAATTTTTTTTTTGTAATTATAATAGTTTATATACTTTAAACTGCAGAACAATTGCTACCCACATCAGGAAACTTACCAACAAGAAGCAACAAAAAATAAAACATAAATGTATGGTGTAGTTACAAAAATAAACGGAAATACTTGTAATACTTCATAGATACTAGATAAAAATTATAACAATACTATTTACTTACTTTTCTTTAAAAATCACCAACCTTCACATAAAACTGAGTGGGCGAGCTTTAAAACCAACTGATCCCCCGACTTGTGTAAGATAATAAACCATCTTACAAAAGCAAACAGAAAGATCTCCCACCTTGGTCCCGGACAAAAGACTAAAAGTAATTATCTTCTTTTCGCAGACTCTTCGAAAGCCATAAAAAAAAACATGTCATATAAGCTTTTAAATGTGCTTATTGGATCCCAAACAACGACAATCAAAACCAAAACATAAATAATTCAGTGGAGATGTAAAAAAAGATGAATAGAAATCAATTCGTGCTAGCTTACGTCTAAATCGTATTTTTTTTTGTAATTTTTATATGAGAGGCTAAATATGGGATTGAACAAAGCTAAAATTTATCGATGGAAAAATCCCCTCTTTTATGCCAATTCCCATGTTATGCCTGAGAAAGAAACGAATTAACATAAATGTTCTTTAAGGAAACTCTTTGACGTCAGAAACTAGTTTGGCCAACCAATTTTAGCAGCTGAAATTATGTCAGACGGTTCTTAGAATTTTGCAGAAACCACATATATCATTAATTTTAGTCTCTTATGCTTGCCCTCTGGGAGGTCAATTTAATTATAGACCTCTTTTTTTCACTTCTCTATGATATTAATTGGTAATTGATATTTCTCCAGTACAGTATTTTTAACACCAAAATCATTTATGATTAAAACTTGAGAGTTCATTGATTTCTGTTTAAATTTCATATACAAAATACTTAAAGATTAATCTTTATGTTGTAAAGGTTTTAAATAAAAAACAAAAATTTGATATGGATCTTAAGCGTTTTGCTTTGCTGCTGTAATAAGTTTTGTAATTTGAAGCTACGAAATTGTGGTAGTAGATTTTAATCTCTATTTTGATTGAGTATCATTTTGTTGAAAATATACATGAAAAATATATTTCAATAAATGCTACTTTTTATCGACTGTCCAAAGTTCAACAAACTTTTAGGGATGCAGTCCACAGATCGTAAATAATGTGTGCATAATAACCCTAGGACTAAGCTTTAAATCCCAAAACCAAAACGAATTATCAATATTTTTCAGACTTTTATCGCCTTGTCTGTACTTTTGAAGAGATCATAATTTATGAAACTGACGTCAAGACGGTGTATGCATAAAAACATACATATGTATATGTGTATCAATCACGGCGATATATCGTCTCGTTTATGGTTATCAGTCAGTTTTTTGGCGAAGACTTCGATTTGCATAAAGACAATCGTTTTGTCTGTTCGCTGGTTTACGGCCACAAAACAAATAAATAAATAAAAACACAAACGGAGAGATACAAAACAAAAAAATGGATGATAATTTATAATGAACATGTTGATGCGCTCCTCCTCCTTCTCCTTTCCATCGAACCCCTCGAACCCCTCCAAATTGGGGCTATAAAACCTTTGGGTTACTTGGCCCTCTGGTAGACATATCCGCCATTTGTTGCGTAGACGGTATCCGCAATGCCTTTGGGATCATCGGCCAGAGGCGGTGGCACCACAGTCCTCTCTGCATCCTTGTGCTCCTCCTCTTTTTGTTCATCCGAGTAGCCTGGTGGCGCCGGTCCTCCGAATCCGGGCGGGAATTGCTGGTAGGGATTCTGTCCGGGAACTGGTCCACCGAATCCCACGGGCACATTGAATCCTCCGGGATTGGGTCCTTGGAAGGGTCCCTGCGGATTGGTCAGGGAAGTCCCTGGTTGGTCAGGAATTCGGGGGGAAAGGAGCTCCTCCCGGTGGTGGGAAGGGAGCTCCTTGCGGAGGGAAGTTAGCTCCCGGTGGTGGGAATCCATTTCCGGGTACTCCTTGTGGGGGGAAGGGTGCTCCTGGTGGTGGAAAAGGTCCTTGTGGTTGGAAGCCAGCTCCTTGTGGTTGGAAGCCAGCTCCTTGTGGAGGGAAACCTGCTCCCGGTGGTGGAAATCCTGCTCCCTGTGGTGGAAATCCTGCTCCCTGTGGTGGAAATCCTGCTCCCTGAGGAGGGAAACCCGCTTCCTGAGGTGGGAAACCCGCTCCTTGTGGTGGAAAACCAGGTCCCTGGGGATAAGCTCCACCGAAGGGACCTCCTGCATTTGGCGGCACTTGGTATGCGGCATTTGGCGGCCCTCCCGGGAAGGGCCCACCATTGGGATACGCCGAGGGCACCGGACCGATGCCAGGACCCACTCCCTGCTCGCCAGGACCTCCGCCGAATCCAAAGAAGGGCGGGTAGATGGGCAGCGGGAAGTTTGGCGGCTGAACAGGCGGAGGTGGGACATTACCACCCGTGGGAATGGCATAACCAGGTGGCAGAGGTAATCCAGTGGAGGGATAGAACCCGGATGGATCCTTCTGGATCTCGTTGGCTGCTTCAGAACGGGTGTGCACGTCCTGTTCGGCACTCGGTGGAATGTAATCCTTGGACAGGTGGCTCACATCCCCGCGGATGAGGGGCAAAATCAGGACCAGAATGGCCCATCGATGGATCATGTTGAAGTGCGGCTTGATCTCTGAGAGCTTCCACGGCGACGGAAACTATGTGGCCACGGGCCTCGAATCCACCACTTATAAGACGGCATATTACATAAATAGTCGCCGCTCCATTTCACTTTCCCATTCGATGAACGGAAATTGCTTTGCATCACCACAAAAGGTTCCATAAATAGTCGCAAATTTGCTGGCCAAAAAAGGGCGAGGGGAAGTGTTAAAACTGAACTATAAAAATTAATTTTGCGGCCGCATTTTACATATATAAACCAACGCCGATAACGAATGCCAAATTTAGCATGGGGCACCGAAAAGAGATGATGAGAAATGGCTTTAAAAAGAAAAGAAAACAAAGAACATGAAAAGGTGTAATTTATTTGTGATTAACTTATTACCTAATCTAAACAAAAAGAGGTTAAAGAAGTTCTGAATTTGTAAAATAAACTTTAAACACAGTGTTGGTAAGGTCCAAGAAAAGCGTCAGAGAAAAACATCCTCACATCCTTAACTACAAAATATAGATTCCTTATAATACAAGTTTCAGGCTTCAGTACCTAATGTTTCTAGGATTTTAGTATGTGTATTATAAATTGTAGTTAGCATGATTTTATAAATTGTTTTAAGCGTTCCAGTGTTGAAAGTCTCCTATTAAAGTAAAAGCTTAAAAAAGGAACTATTAATTTGCAAGCTCTACTTAATTATAAAGCTTGTTCAAGACATTAAATTAGCAGTAAAGTTTTACAGACAAGTTAGTCGCAGCTTCCAAGTTTATTCGAAGCTTAAATCCGTTTATTAAAAGCTTCGTGGATTAATTAAAGCTTAACGTAAAATTGTTTTGCTTCACAAAACAACAAACTTGGTGATTTGCCAAAAATGAACCTGCTAAATGCAAAACTATAAAACGTGGGTTTGTCAGAACAATCATAAATTAATACATTGGACATTGATGCGGCCTGAAGTTTTATGATCTGGTTTAACTGGCTTTAGTTTCAAAACAGCCTAACTAAACTAAACTATTTAAAGCCATGCTATAAAAATTCTAGACTGACACTAAATAAAAAGTTTCTTTGTTCGCTTTTAATGTATAGAAATATTGTAATTCCGATATTTGCATTTCCTAAAAAGTTTTTTTTTCCTCTATTTTCGGGTTTTAGTACAAAGAAATAATACAAAGAAACCAGTTGTCTATTTAACTTATTTGATTGTTGGATTACAAAACCATTAAGATTAATTTATTTGGATTTTCTTTGTTTTCTATTGTTTTAGGATACGAACGCAAACCATTGGGTAACTTGGGTATGGATAATACAATGAAGGCTAACTTAGAGGTTTTTAAATTTCAGTGTTGGATTTGTTAATAAAGTAAATAATTTAACCAATTTAAATAAAGGGTGAATCTTATTTTACAAGTTCGTTTTGTGGCTTGTAAAATTTTCTATTTAAGTTAACTGGATTCGATATATACTATAAGTCTTTATATATGTACTCATCCTTAAGAACCAAAAAATATAGTTTTCCAAAACTAGTATTCATTGTTACCATGTTTTCCTTATTTTTAGAAAAGTTCTTCTTAAGTTGGAGCATTCGTCTGTCTAAATTTGTAGAATTCCTTAAAATTCCATTGATTCCCAAGTTCCATTAAAAAAGTTATATATTTTGTTTTTTTTTCGGATTATTGGCATTTTACTTTTCGTTGTTAAAATAGTTTACAGTGCACAAAAAAAAGAAGGAGGGGGGATGGTGAACTGGGGCAGTATGCATGTATTTACACTGTTTCGGATTCAGTTGCAGGCCTCTGAGCTCCTTGCCTCCTTACTTCCTGTAGACGTATCCTCCGTTGGAGGCGTACTGGGTGCCCACATCCACGGAGGGGGCGGAGTAGCTCACCGACGGGGCGGAGTAGCTGACGGAGGGGGCGGCGTACGTCTGCTGGACAGCGGGGGCGGAGTAGCTGACCGAGGGAGCGGAGTAGCTAACCGAGGGAGCGGAGTAGCTGACGGAGGGAGCGGAGTACGACTGCTGGACAGCGGGGGCGGAGTAGCTGACCGCGGGGGCAGCATAGCTCTGCTGGACAGCGGGGGCGGAGTAGCTCACTGAGGGTGCCGAGTAGCTGACCGAGGGAGCAGAGTAGCTGACCGAGGGAGCGGAGTAGGTCCTCTGGACAGCCGGAGCGGAGTAGGTCCTCTGGACAACGGGGGGCGGAGTAGCTCTGCACGGGCGGCAGGTACTCGTTGCTGGGGGCGGAGTAGCTCTGCTGGATGGCAGGGGCGGCGTACGACTGCTGGACGGCGGGGGCCGAGTAGCTCACCGAGGGGGCGGCGTACGACTGCTGGAGGGGCGGCAGGTACTCGTTGCTCAGATGGCTCACATCGGCGGCCACGCAGGCGAACAGGGCGAACGCAACAAGGAATTTCTGCAAGTAGGATAACAACAACACTTCACATTAACACAGGTCACCAAAACAAAAAAAAAATGTAATTAAAAAATTATATAAATTTTTCTGGTTGATTTTTTGGTGGTTTATATCTTGTAATCCTTCACTGACCATTTTGATTATTGGTGGTTTGTTGTGGGGGCTTGAAGCGACTTTGCTGGATGAGCTTGAGGCTGCGACTGATGCCGGTCCCTAGAGCGGGCTTTCAATTTATAGCCGCCGGCCGGCGGTCGATCCGAAGAAAAGCGCCGCTTTGTAGCGGTCTCTCAACTGCAACAGCAGCCGCCGCCGAAGAAGAAGAAGATGATGGAGCAGAAGATGGAGCGGGTTAAGCGGCCAAGCGGACCAAGAAGAAGAAGAAGAAGAAGCGGCAGCAAAAGTCACCATCATAAAATCGAGACAAACAGCAACTGGTGGGCCAGAGGTGCCTGAAGTTCAGAGGTTCAAAGCTAAATACTAGTTGTAATTAACAGCTACATTTGGAAAATGCATTCTGTAATATTTGTAAAATTTTTATATTTACTGAAAACAGAAGGAACAATAGTTTCCATGTTTACAAATACCCACATTACGATTCCGGTTATAATATTTTTATATTTACTGAAAACAAAAGGAATGATAGTTTACATGTTTACAATTACTATTCCGGTTATAATATTTTTATATTTATAAAAAAATTGTATTACAGAATTTGTACGTTTTGTTGACTAATATAATATATAATATATATAATATAATAATATATATATAATATCCTACCCAGCAAATTTAATATAATGAACATTTATGATAAAGTATAAGTCAACATTTAATTACTACCTCGGAAATTATTTATAAAATCATTTATGAAACTCAAATTTTGACCTAAAAATTACACCATGCAGCGCTTGAAATATACAATATATTTGGCAAATTAGTTGGTCTGTTCATTTTGGAAATGGCTAGTAATAAGGAATAATTGATTATTAATGAACATCTCTTTCGCCCACATTGTTTTATTGCATTTAGCAATAAAATCGCCAAAATGGCAACACTAATCAGGGCGGGGGTTAAAACAATATATTAAGCAAAACTACCAAACGGAAAATCACATAAAAAATTAAATTCAACATAAAACGAACGAAATCGCACACGCAAACGGGTTTGCCTCATTTACAATATTATATTTTTTCCATCGACGCAACGGGTTTCGGCGGGTGAACTACTTTGGGACACCTTTCGTGGGGTCTTCAATCAAGCTTATTAACGGCGGCTTACGGGGGGCCATAAAATTAAATCCTAAACCAAGTCAAAAAATAGAAAAAAACTACCAGAGACCAGCCCGCAACCCGAAGCGAAGAGGTTCGACTAATTAACATTCAATTTAGCACATTATACGCCACGAAACCTTTTCTCGTTTTAGCCACATTTCGGTGGTTAACCGCAGAAATGGGCCGGCCAAAAAAAGAAGAGATCCATTCGAAGATCTGGCCTCGTTCGAGACACTTGGCCAGATTGATGGCCCCCAGAATGTCGTGTTCGGAAACAGATCCCCACTCGCATTCGCACTCGCACTCGAACTCGCACTCGCACTTTCTAAAAAGCCATAAACCCATCTGAGAAGCCGGCAGAAGACGGCCTTGAGAACAACCGCTAAAGAGTTACGACTTCCAGGGCGGGCTTTACATAATAATAGCTGGCAACAACTTTTACTCGCTGCCACAACTTGCGTCTGCCGGGTGTCCATGAACTTGAAATGCAGCTCGTACACAGAGAAAAATATGCGAGTATAAATTCAGGAATGACACAATCCTGTTCAGGAAAAGAGCTTCTAGATGTCAGATAACTTACTAATTATTATTTTTTTCCATAAATATAATTATAAATATATTTGTAAATATTAAAAACAATTTAAAAGAAAATTCTAGAAATTCGAATTTAATGTAGATCATGATTAGGGTTTGAATTTGTTTTAGAAGAATTCAATCAATTAAAAATCTCAATTGTAGAACTTTATTTAAATCTCAGTGCAGAGGTAAGACCAAACTTAATTGGCAGGACGACAAGTTAATGCAAGTTTCAGGGTTAATAAACTGGAGTTGGGGAAACTTAAATGCAACATCAGCTTTCCGAGAACTATAATTGAGTAACTGTGAACGGGAAATGCTTCACCCAAAACAGGTTATAAGATAAAAGTAATACTGTGGATGTTAAGCAAAGGTAAGGAGCCTTGATTAATACAAACTCGAAAAATGCAAGAAAGGAAATGCAAATACCAATTAATCACATAAAATCACAAAAAACAAATTATTGAATAATTTGAAAAAAAATATATTTAAATTTATTAGACTCTAGGGCTCTTAAAGATTTATTTTAGTAAACATAACCGCCATTGGAGGCGTACTGGGTCTCTTGTGCCTCCTTTGTGAGGTGAGCAGGGGTGATGGTGTCTCCACCGATGGCGATTGGCACGTGGGTCTCGGGATTGAACTCCTCGATGCCATTGGAAGTGGGCTCCTCGTACTGATGAGCGGTTGTGATGGTGTTGGTTCCCGCGGGAGCCTCTCCCTTCACATAGGCGGCGATCAGGTTGCCAGTTTGGTATTCGGGGGCAGCGTTTCCGATCTGGCTGTGAACATAAGTGCTCTGGTAGGAGCCAGATCCTCCGACAGAAACGGAAGAAGAGGCCGAGGAAGAGACGGAATAGGATCCAGAAGCTCCTCCATTTGAGGCAGTCTGCTGACCCTGAACATATTTGTAGTGGGCCTCCTGATCAGCCTGAGGAATGAACTTCTCAGGGGTGTAGGTATCAGCACCAATGGCAGCTGGAGCTGGGGCATAGGTATCAGCTCCAATAGCAGCCGGAACAGAAGTCTTCAAATGCGTAGGAGTGTATTCAGCGGGCTGGTAAGAACTCGAATCTCCGCCGGGAACCACGGCTTCCTGCTCTTGCTGCTGCTCCTGAACATACTTGTAGTGGGCATCCTGATCAGCCTGAGGAATAAACTTCTCAGGAGTGTAGGTATCAGCTCCAATGGCAGCTGGAGCTGGGGCATACGTATCAGCTCCAATGGGTGCCGGAACAGAAGTCTTGAGGTGAGCGGGAGTGTATTCAGCAGGTTGGTAGGAGCTCGAATCGCCTCCAGGAACCACTTCAGAAGCAAGAGGAGCAGTCAATACTTGCCTGAGATAAGCAGGAGTATTTTCAGCGGGCTGGTAGGAGCTAGAATCTCCGCCAGGAACAATTTCAGCTGATTTCAAGTGCTCTGGAGTATATTCAGCGGGCTGGTAGGAGCTGGCATCTCCTCCAGGAACAACTTCAGCAGCAACAGCCTCTGAGGATGCTTGCTTAAGATGAGCAGGAGTGTATTCAGCAGGTTGGTAAGAGCTGGAGTCTCCACCTGGAACAATTTCAGCCGACTTCAAGTGCTCTGGAGTATATTCAGCGGGCTGATAAGAGCTAGCATCTCTACCAGGAACAACCTCGGCAGTTTTCAAGTGCTCGGGAGTGTATTCAGCGGGCTGGTAAGAACTGGAATCGCCTCCTGGCACAACTTCGGCAGCAACAGAGGCGGAAGATTCCTGCCTCAAGTGAGCTGGAGTGTATTCAGCAGGCTGGTAAGAACTAGAATCTCCTCCAGGAACAATTTCAGCAGATTTCAGGTGCTCTGGAGTATATTCAGCGGGTTGGTAAGAGCTCGATTCGCTGCCAGGAACAACCTCAGCAGCGACAGATGCAGAAGATCCCTGCTTCAAATGAGCAGGAGTGTATTCAGCGGGCTGGTAAGAGCTGGCATCACCTCCGGGAACAATCTCAGCTGATTTCAAATGCTCTGGAGTGTATTCAGCAGGTTGGTAAGAGCTCGAATCTCCACCCGGAACCACTTCGTCAGCACCAGAGGCAGATGATCCCTGCTTCAAGTGAGCGGGAGTGTATTCAGCGGGCTGGTAAGAGCTCGAATCCCCTCCAGGAATCACTTGGGCAGTTTTCAAGTGTTCAGCAGACTGGTATGAGCTGGAATCACCTCCAACCACTCCGCTTGATGAGGAGTACGAGGATGATGAAGACGAAGAGGCGGAGAATCCATAGCCTCCATCCGCGGACTGGCCCAACTTGAGGTGGCTAACATCGGCGGCGACGAGGCCGACAAAGGCCAAAGCGATGACGTAGAACTTCTGCAAGGGGAGCAAAGAAAGTTAATAGGTACTAGAGGGCGGGACGGGCGGTGGACGAAATGTTCCCCCAAGAACCGAAACTTACCATGTTTGGGCCGAATCTGTTGATCTGAAGATGGGCGATTCAGGTTTTTATACCCACAAAAGATTATGGGCCTATGCTAATTGGAGTTTTGTTTTGATCTTGGCTCCGTTCGGCGGTTCCCTCGAAAATTTCTACATATTCAAGCATCTGCCTGGTTTTCCTATTTTGATTTCGGTTTGCGAATTTGCATAGGTAACATAACAAAAGCGGTGATCTTATCATCTTGATTAGAACCTCTCCGGGTCTGACTGCGTTGGCCTTTCCGTCAATTAAACTGTCGTCTGGCCTTTACACAAATAGAAATATTTTAACCATTCGCCGCTGAATAATATGCTTAAAATAATATAATTATTCTGATTATCTTTTTAAAGTCAGAAAAAAAACAAGGTTATTAAATAAATTGAAAAAGATGGTACAACGACTACATTTAAAATAATGATTGTACATTTTACGGCAGAATGAAGTAGTATTTTTTCTCTGTACAACTCCATCCTCCCGATGGCTTGCTAATTGTGGAGTTAATGATTAGCGCTTGGCAAGTTCAGCCGGGTGTCATAATCGGCTTGGACCGGCAACCAGTTCCTTGTCTTTTGGCCAAGAGACTCTGGCCTGCCAATGAGTCTGCTAATTGGGCTTGGAGAATCAATCGATGGATGCTCAAACTCAGATTGACGCTGCTTATTAGGCGGCGTTCAATCAAAATGTTTCTACTTTTGGATTTTTACGGCACGAGAACGGACTAGTTGCATACTCCACAAATGTGAAGCCAACAAGGCATGGTTCAATTTCATTTTAAGTGATTCAGTGTGCCAACTGACAGAAAATCCAGTTTCGAATTAGTTTCGCCAGCATTGGCGAATTAATAATAAAGGCAACCTTTATATAAAGTTTCAGCTTACATTTTATGGATGAATTTATACGGTTAACAGATATTTCAGCTGATTTTATGGCCATCATTTGGTAAAATTAGCTTAAGTTAATAAATTTACTGTTTTCATAATAAAAGCAAGGTAACCATTAACCTGAGATAACAATAAAAATAGGAAAGGGTATTTAATGGCTTAGTTCGTGTGCTCTTAGCCAAAAATCTAAATTGGTTAACGAACATTGAACTGGGAGGGAACATTAAAAACTCGTTTATAAAGAATTGGATTTTTGTTTATTGATTTGTTTTGTCAAAATGATGAAAATAGGTGGTCTGTCAATAGAGCTTATAACTTAATTGCTTGAAAAATGAGCAAATATAAATGTATTGAATAATGAATGCTGATTACTATAATTGCTCAATCTTAATTCAGGAGGTTTGAAATTCCATATTCTTACCATTACTTTCCTTGTTCTGGTGTTGTCGAAAAATCAAATGAATAATGAATAAGGTAGAATTTTAAATATTTGTATTTCCCATTTCTTTTCATATTTGAACAATTTCGTTTAGTTAATTATGTAAATTTATGTTTCAATCAGTTATTTTCCTATAGCACCGGCTTTATTTACATAATCATCTTACTGTGACGTCCAAATTTTGACTGCAAAACAACCTGGAAGTATATTTTTAGAGAATGCAAATTTTGTGGATCTGGCCAACTTTTTGGGACAAGTCACAAAGCGTGAATCACTCGGAATGGTTGAGGTTCTTTGCCGATTCAGTTCGGAGCATCCAAACTCGTTTTATGAACATAAACTCTAGGCCTAAAAATATTCAGATTTAATGCCTTGCCTTGTCTGGACTCTAGTTTTGCTTTTGGCATGCCTTTAATTATGAAAATTTAATCTGTTTTTGCTTGTAATTAAAACACAAGAACACGATAAAATTAAAGCCTTAAATATATTGATGGCCTTTGTGTAAAACAAATGCCAGAGTCTGTCTAAAAATCAGGTTGAGCGACAAAAGATTTATAATTATGGTTAGGTCCGAGATATATGTTTATATATATTTGTTTTCGTTCTTTCTCTTCTGTCGCCAAACAATAGATCAAGTTTGAACAACTGTGTGTATACATTTATTGATATTGATTGTGCGTTTGTCAGTCAAACTTGTTGGTGACCTAACAGAGGTGTGGATCTCAGCCCTCAATTATTTTCGTTTGCTCTTGGATTAGCACAGAAAAAAAAAGAATATTCTACAAAAAAGTAAAGCTCGTTTGTGTTTAAAAGTTAATAAAAAAGAAATTATTAGGAGACATTGAGAAACAGAAGCTTAGAATTCATAAATATACTTTCGAAACTGTTGTGTTTGTTAATGATTACGAAATTGTATATTACTCCCAAAAATTGCATGTCTAGAACAGGTTTTTTACAGGGATTTGAATTACCTTTTTTTAAGTATAATTATTATTCTATGCAAGATTTATTTGTGAGACAATTTCTAATATTAATTTCTTCTTTGCAGTTTCTTAACAATTTTTTTTTATACAAGGTATACTCCCCTAACACTTTCGGTTTCCACTCTTGATATAGTAGTTGGTTCTTCTCTGGTAGCCGACGTGGGCTCTTCAAATATTTGTGCAGCTCGCGTGTTTGAGAATGGTAAATGTTTGCCAGGGGTTTTGGCCCTCGGCAGCGGCCATAAAACAATTGCGAAACCGGCGTCAATCGCGACAAATTGTTTCGCCCAACAAAAACAACAACTGGCTTTCGGAGACTGGACCCCCTTTACACCTTCAGTTCCATACAACCCCTCCCCAACCCCTTTTTTGCCCCCTTATTTGGGGTACACATGCATGTTGGACACACTTGTTAGCCATGTATTTTGGCCACGTCTTGAGCTCAACTCAACGCCGATCGTTATGAGTAAAACGATGCTTAAATAAGACAAGCACGGTGAGCTCTTAAATAACGTTTGCCAAATTGCATTTCTGTTTAACATTTTGCAAAACCGCAAAACAATGTTTGCATGTTGCAGATGCTGCTCTTGGGCAATTCCCCACTGGAGATCTCGAGATGTGGGTGTGATGTTATGATTTCAGCCCGCATCAGAATCTTCGATCTGGTCAGTAAATCATAAGTTGGCATTGTCAGTTTATGAGTGGGATACTCCATCAATTTTATAGCCAGTAAATGTCTGCTTTTTTTTGGGATGCGTATAACATTAATTAAATAATTTGCTTTTTATGGGGGAGTTGTCAGCACTTTAGCGGAAAAAATATATGTATATTAATTTGTTTGAATGATTTTTCATATGTAGGTTTTTATTTCTAGTTAATATGGATATTTTCAAATGTTCTCCATTTTTTTTAGGATTTATTAACACTTGTTTTGTGAATCAATTTTATAGTTCCTTATTGTTTTTTTTTTCCAAAACTTAAACCTCACTTTGCCTAAACATTAGCATTAATAATGCCACTAGTAAACTCAAGCTGGCCGACTGTTTGCCAAATTCTAGCATCATCTGAGGCATCGCAAATATATGCTTAGATCTCAATGCTGATCTGGCATGAATGTAAAACGCATTCGAGTGGGCTTGTTTGTTCCGTAAATTCCCAGAGACTTGCCGAAAGGCAAACAGTTTCACGGCTTAATTCGCCAGGCAAACGATCGGAATTTGTTGAGCGTTTTCATTTGCAACAATTGCTTTTTGTGTGCACCTGCTTCATCTGTGGAAAAACAGGAAAAATCGGTCACACTTGGGCCGATATTTTAAGATGCGTTTTAATTGATTGACCAAATATTGCGGGGACTTTTCCATCAGCAGCGTTAATTCGTCAAAAACGACGGCAATCAATCGATGCGAAGGTTTTGGCCAGGCCGAGATCTTATTACTTGTTTGATTACTCGGCAGAAATAAGGTGGCTAAATGTGGATTGAAGACCCTGACCTTCTCGCCAAGTGCGAAACGTGTCAGAGTCCAAGACGAAATGGAATTAAAAATTAAGTTTAATCATTGTTTTACGGCCATAATCCGCGAAAGTGAAGGGCAATCGAAGGAAGTCGTCTGCTGGCAGCTTTACGACCGAATCGCGCTAATTAAAATCGTATTGAAAGCGAAATTAAGCCGCAATTGTTGTGTACAAAGTAACTTCTTTCTCGCAGAGAAATCCATTTGATTTGAGCGCATAATAAAGCCATCGTCGTGACATCTTCCATAAACAACAACTAAAGGGGTGTACCAACTGGACCCACGAAACTAGTTTTCAGGCTAAAACCACTTTTGAGTTCGCGTAATTCGCTCGCAATTACAAAATCAAGTTTACCCGACTATGTGCCATCATTCGACACTTGACGATCGAAATCGATCCCAGATCGGCCAGATCGGCTTCGATTGGCATAATTAGTGACATTTTTGCTGTCATCGCCGATTGTCCGCGAAATGTCATTCAATTTGTCAAATGATTTTACGATCCAAAGGGGGAAATGATCGCCAGCTGTGGGAAACCGAGGCGAAACGCCTTTAAAGGCTAATTCTGTCCATGATTCTGTGATGAATTCATATTCAATGAATTATGTAAATACCAAACGGGCTTATTGATTTCCTAACACTCAGTAATTGCGGGGATTTTTGCTGGTTGTTTTTTTCTTTCAATACCACAAAAAGCTTATTAGTTTGAGCTCTCCATAATGCCATTGAAATGTTATTTTAGTCACGGATGGTCTAAAAATGTTGGGGCTTATTATTTTTTTTTTTTAGGTTTCAAAAATTGTAAACACATAAATTTAACTTCCTCCTATTATTATTAACTGCATTTTAATATTCAAAATGTTTATTTTTGTTTGAATTATTGTTTTTTTTATTCTTTTATTTAAGTGGATATTAATACTTTAAAATATCTTAATATTTTGTATATATTTTACTTTAAAGAGAGTTCGCCCTCCGTTAAGCAAACATTCCCTTGTTTTTCTACCTTTTTCCGACACTCGGGTTCACACACTTGAAAAATCGGCAAGTATTTATTTTTATGATTTATGAACGTGGCTAAATCTTCGCTGGTCACCCGTTGTTGCGGGGAATCCCATTGACGTAACCTCCATAAGTCCAAATTCTTGTTCCATCATCTATTAGCCCAGTTTGCCTTTAATTATATAATTTTGGAATAACACACA